TTATCAAATCCATGCATTACCTGCGATAGCTCCACATAAATCTCCAACAGTTTCCCGCCAATCAAAGATCCAAAACTTGGACCAAGAACAAAGGAAGTGAAAAAAATCCCTAAATATAAACTAACGTGTTTGGGGTGGACGTTTTCATCAAGCCAAGCAGGTGCTATAGTCAGCATTGGAGCCGAACCTATACCTGCAAGAAGCTGAGAAATTACAAAAACCGCATAGAACGTCGATGAAGATGATCTTGAATTGCATGTCAGGTCTTGAGAAAAGGACGAATGGTTCAAGAAACAATATGGAGGACGACCAGTCAAAACTGAAAGATAGAATAGGAATAGCTAAAAAGCACTGGAGTAAATCTACCTACACTAAAATATGCGCAAATTATAATGCTTCGAAGAATTTTTAATGATGCTCAAAAGTGATGACTTTCAATTGACAATGCAAGAATGACATTTTCATCAGCGCTTTTTTTTAGCTTTTTTAGCGCTTTTTTAGTCTTTACTAAAATAACTTGTTGTATTGTTTTATATGATAGGAAGGTGTTTGTGAATTACCCGATGTTGGGTCGAAAGAGTCGCTCAAAAAGTGCGGTAGCGAGTACAAACATGAAGAGATTCCAGTAATGATGGCGCCACACCCTAACCACTTGCCCTTGGGACTATGTCCTCCATAAAAACTGATCACTACACCAAATATCATAGACGTAATATCCAGAGATGAGATTATGAACCCTGTTTCCTTGCTGTTKAATAGAAACCTCTTCTCTAGAGAGGGAAGAGACATTTGAATGAAGGTATAGACCGCCATACCTAAAAAATGAGGTGTCGTTAGTATTCGGAGGAGTGATATAAGCCCTTTCAGGACTACATTGTGACAATGTAAAAAACTTCAAATATGCACACCACAAAAGATACCAAAACCAATTTTTTTTATGTAACAGTAGCTATTCGTTCGGTTGATATTTGAATCGAATTGTTCCACCATTTTTCGAATGGGTCCGTACAATAGAATTATTGAACAAAAATCAACATTCTAAATACAATTTAAGAGACATTTTGAAAAAACTTCAACGAAATTCAGGGAACATTTTGAGAAATTTCATGCAAGAATTCGATGTACAATTTGGCTTCTACTAATGAATCGTGTGAAAATACTGAAAGGATTCATGACAGCTAGTGGGCGTTCCCTTGGTTGGCCTCGGCGCTTTGGGTAAGAAACTGACGGTCATGTTACAACCATGAAATCTCAAGATGTTTCCATAAAAAATGGATAMAGCTTTTATTATGGTATGCTTTTGCTGATGAACCAAAAGACGAATTGTTGTGTTGTAGTCATGAGTAATGATCTGTAGTGCAACATAACTAATCGAGGCATTGAGTGAATGCCATAGTTACAGGTGAAGGTATTACTGATGCAGTAAGTGAGTCATGGAAAACATCGGAGATAAAAAATACACAGTGTTTGTAGCAGTACCTATATATCTTACCTTGAAACACTGTCAGCAAACAAACAAACACCAACATCCATCGTGAAGTGTTTAACCATTGTAAACATTTTGGTCTWAYATTCAACCACCCCCAGTCCTCTTCAGTCTCACAGWCGRTGCTGCTAACTMTACRTGTATCACTATCCAGTAAGGACTCTCGTTGGTGTTCCTCGACATCTGATGCCTCCAGGGATTGTTTGGAACGAACAACATCTTTAACTACATTCAGATTCATTATCAACGAACCAAGTTTGAAACTAGGCACGATCAGAACGTTTGATCGCAGTTGAAAGTCATGACAGAAGAGTTGATCGATGCACGCCTAGTTCATTCGAAGTCAACAAATTAAGACACTAAGTATAGTGATCCGATAAAGCTAGTCAATTTGTACAGTTTGGTTAAGTGGATTTTMGAAAGGAAGACTTTATTGCCGTTAATTGGTCCGTGCCGGTGTTTGTCAACTTATCCAAGAATTCAATTAATGGAGATTTCCGGCTCTTTCACCTATTTCACGTTCAGTTTCACTCATGCTTGCAATCTCACGTGTGGTAGAAACGTWTTACATTACATTGCCGCAGATCTTTTCAAACACCTTTTAATATTATGATAGATTCTTAAAGGCTTAATACTATTAATACACATGGGAAAACCCTGCTGATCAGTTCTGACTTTATAAGCAGAAGTATTCCGTACCGGTCATTAACGGGGTGCACCTGCTAAGTGTTCAATGACTCAGTGTATGGAAGTGATATTTGTACAAGTTTTCCATTATATTCAGCCAGGACTGATACCCCTGACCTTTTTAGTACAAAMGAAATTTACGACTTAGAAATACGAAAATACAAAACGCCTGAAAAACAGTTGTTACAGTTCAAGCGTAATTGCGATCATTTTAATAACATGTGCAAACAAAATTAGTGATATCACTTTCATTTTTTTTCAAGTCGTATTATCATAATTTTTAAAATGATAATCATTTACACATGCCTTCTTTTGAAGAAGGCATTTTTTATATAGTTGTGTCATGGCAGCGCCACAACTTTTTACATATAAATCTTTATATAATTTATTACCAATATTACACTATTTTCGAAGGAGTGTGCAAAATACCATTTATCAAAATGACTTTTTATACATTAGCAATATCTTGAAAATACTTCATTTCTTTCATGAAGCAACCAGATTTATTCCAAAGGACATTTAGAGGGTGAAATGGTTGACATAGGATTGTACCACAGAAAGCCCAATTCCATCAAGCAATTTGTCAACTTTATAGTTGTTACTTCAACTAATTTGCTTTCTTGATGGAAAAAAATTTGGCGATTAGGTCCTAACCACCCCAAACCCCCTACCCTACCCCCCAGTGGACTTGTCCTTGAACACACAGTTTATAGCTGTTACAAGTCTTGTTGTAATTATTTAAGGTAAATTATGATCTATTTTCTGTACCACATGGTGATAGGGTGATGGTGGCGGCGTATTTTCTTCTGTAGTTGTAAGACTCCATAAAGAAGAGCTTCACCTGTCGGTGGGCACCCAGGTACGTAGATATCAACAGGAATAACACGATCACAACCACGYACTACTGCATATGAATAATGGTAGTATCCACCGCCATTAGCACAACTGTGAATTGTAACAAAGACAATAACCTAAGTTAATAACAAGATGTATTTTAACAAGAGATTCTAATGGCTCAACCAGATGAGCATCACGCAGTTCAATGACATACCTTCCCATTGATATAACCCATCGTGGTTCAGGCATCTGGTCATAAACCTTTCTTAATGCTGGAGCCATCTTATTGGTCAATGTTCCTGATACTATCATCACATCAGCCTGACGCTATAAATAGAATATATTAGGATTATTATGGGATGGTGTGCAGGTAAATGGTTAAAAAATCATTTTTTATACTTACTGGACTTGCTCTAAATACAACACCAAATCTATCCATGTCATACCTGATGGAAAACAGAAAATAATTAATATGAACATAATAGTCCTAACAGAGCTGGAAAATGTTTTGATGTGTGTGTGGTACCTTGGAGCTGCAAACGCCATCATTTCCATAGCACAACAGGCCAAACCAAACATCATTGGCCAGAGAGAGCTCTGCAAACATTTAAAAAGTAGTTTGAAATATTAATAACAATATTATCAAATAACTCATTTTAATGATGAATTAAAATTTATTATTAATATAACAGACTATTTTAAGTAAAAATAAAAAAATAAAAATGTGGCAGTTCTTCAAAATATTGAATATAGAATATAGGTCACAGGTTAACTTACACTTCGACCCCARTTCACAAGATCATCCAACTTAATGACTGTATATTCTACAGATTGAAATAAGCAAACATGATGGTTAAACCAGTAACCTCCCCTGTCTCTCCCCCCTAACATCCTAGGTCAACAAAGTTGTTCATCCATGAAAAAACTATGGAATTTTACTGAATGACTTTGCTCTTAAGGTAATTATTTACCGGCAGCAGAAGCCAGTGCTCCCTTTGGTTTGGGCGTCTTGTTGGTAATACCACTTTGATGTCTCAGGGCAACAGTACTGATAAACAAAAAAGGTCTTATATGAGACTGTATCTACTGTTTTTTGCTGACCAGAAATGAATTCCCTATGCTTAGCACATGGGAAATAGGGGTGAAATGTAGCTACAAGGTCACCGGAGAGTATGGTGTACGTACCCCCTTCACCCCTCCCCAACCATACCCTTCTGCAGGTTCCACCCATGTACCCTCTTCTTTGACCACTMATTGGTCTTTATACTTAAAACAACACTGCCAGTTTCAGGCTTTAATGACGCTTAAATCCTGTAATAATGTTTATGGGTATTCTTACCTCACTACAGATCGGTTTATTAAGAGAGCCCTTCGCAACGGAACATTCATCTTAACGAGTTTGTTGAAAGTGCTGCAAGCTGAAAGACGAGATAAATATTTGATTRAATATTTGATTCAATTTAATAGATGACGAGGAATGAAATGACGAGTCTGCAATGAAATCTGTCAATATCAAATAAAGAAATTAGAATGAAATAAACGTAAACGGCCGATGGCAGATTTACAAGATAAAAAAAATCCTAAAAATTCATCCTCGACAAACGAACGTAATTCACTTCACGTAGCGAGACATAAAACATCCCTTTGTATAAACGTTTACCCATAGAGGGTGGTTATTAATRTGAGAAATGCACGATCATAAAAAAAAACAATCTTGACAATAATGTCACAATTAAACTTTTGTTTTCTGCACATCACGCGAACATTGATATGCATTAAAATTGTATCCAAATGGTTTTCCTCTCAAGCAAATAAGTACTTTGCATTTATACTTAAAGAGTTTTAAAACAAAAGTATAGCAATGAGGTAAAATAGACAAAACGATCTCACCGAAAGCCATGACAAACAGCATGAACCATCGAACATCAAAACATAACGCAGTGGTTCATGGGTAACAAACCATCACGCTTGGTGGGGGTGGGGGTGGGGGTGGGGTGCCTTTATCCACCAATTACGTACAAGATCTACATTTATTGTTTGATAATATAAAGTGAGAGAGATACTGTAATTATGATAGAATACTTACTTGGAACCCATATGACAATGGACAGTCCCCTGGATAAAGGCTAWATATTTCTGTTTTCTGATAAAATCAAGTTACAACCCCATACATGATATRACAATGACTTAGTAATTATCACTGGATGACAAAACTGTGTTCTTAGATCAGACAGAAGCAAAACACAACTTTGTATTATTTTCATGTTTATTTTCATCACAAAACAACATACAGCATATTTTCAAAACATTGTAGAAATCACCCTTCATTGCAAAGCTTTGTGGAAAACATTACTTAAAGAAAAAGCTGTTGGTCAAGATTGGGTTGTCACTACCAAGATAAAATTTCTGCTCTATTTACATATAGAATTCAGTACAGTGTACATTCTTGGTAATTGGAAAATCAATGCACCATTCAACAAAACCATTCAATGGATCTAAAAACATAATAGAATTAGAATATTAGAAAAACTTAGTGCTTGCGCTTCACCTACTGTTTAGTAGTTTAATCCTCTTTTATCAATGACTTGGATAAGATTGTGACAGTAAACCAGAGCCTCATGGAGTTTGTTTGCTGCGATGTCTGCATAATTTAGTCACACCAATGTCCGCATAAATTACTCACATACGCATGCAGTCTTTGTCTACATACACAAAGTAATTCTGTTCTATTACCTTAACATTTGATCAAGTATTTGCTGGCTTATCCAGTATCATTTTAATTTTTGCATTTAAATCTTAGCAAAAAAGGCTAGATTTAAAATCTTTAGCTACAATAGTACCTTATTTCCTGTACCACATCGTAATAGGATGATGGCTGCGACGAATCTTTTTCTGTAACTGTAGAACACCAAACAAAAGAGCTTCTGCAGTTGGAGGACAACCAGGTACGTAGATATCAACAGGAATAACACGATCACAACCACGTACTACTGCATATGAATAATGGTAGTATCCACCGCCATTAGCACAACTGTGGTTCAAAACGAAAACAATAAACATACATTAATTACTGAAGCTGAAAGATAATTATATCAGGAAAATGAAATAAAAATATAATCACACAGTTCAATGACATACCTTCCCATTGATATAACCCATCGTGGTTCWGGCATCTGATCATAAACCTTTCTTAATGCTGGAGCCATCTTATTGGTTAAAGTACCAGCTACAATCATGACATCAGCTTGGCGCTTAAAGAAAACACAATGAGGAATTAACATCACTTATAGATTATTATTCACCGCATATATTTATAAATTTTTGTGCACATGAATGAAGATGGTACTTACTGGACTTGCTCTGAATACTACACCAAATCTGTCCATATCATATCTAATAGTTTAAAACAGAAACAGTTTGTATACTTACAGTAATACTGCTATAGTTTATGATTTTTTATACTTATATAAAAACTACTCCATAAAACATACCTTGGTGCAGCAAAGTGCATCATTTCTACAGCACAGCAAGCAAGACCAAATGTCATAGGCCACAATGAGCCCTGAAAGAACAAATAAATGAATGAATAAATGGAYRGATAAATATWAACACAATGATGATAATAAATGATAAACAATGATGATTATCTCACCCTTCTTCCCCAATTTACAAGGTCATCAATTTTAGTCACTACAAACTCTACAGAAAATRAGAATTAAAATTAGTGGAGAAGTACAAAAATATCAATACAAGACATGTAAGCTGGCTCTCAGGAAACACAAGCACAAGAAAAAGCTTGAAACACGACTTCTGACTAGACTTAAACACAAGAGTCACCAACTTACACACAAGAGTCACCAAAAGAAAGACGAACTAATTCCTTGTGACTACGCTTATTCTTCTTGCTATGCTTATGCATGAATGWAAACAGCTCCAAAGGTTTTTATAGTTTAGTTTTCTTTATGTTTATGCTAACTGTTGAGTGCCTATATTTATGTATTGTGAAAACCAGCCGTAATGACATACTAATGTACACAATACCTGATGCTGCATCAAAYTTTCCTTTAGGTTTTGAAGCTGCAGTAGTGCTCTGATGTCTGGTWGCAATGGCACTAGCAAATAGAAAACAAGATTCAATGATAAATACATGCATGATAAACCATTAATTGTATATTTCTCTGCMAATTCAAATTTACCTCTGAACAGCAGAYCTTARRATTGGAAGACAAGTTCGTGGTATCATCARAGATTTCGAGCAACTRCGGACTAAATATAATACAATAATTACAAAATTATGCAGAGTTGTTGCCAGACAATTTCTTTAAAGTAGTGATAGTTGAAACATATTATCTGTCTTGTGATATAAGAAGAAAATCAACGAAAAAGCCACAAAGCCTCGAGAATATCATCAGAGTATTCTCTTTTGAGCCTACTTAACACTTAAATATTTAAAGAGATAGAAAACTAGCGTTGAAATATGCAATAAACTGAGAAAAACATTGAGCTTACCTAACTCCATGGCGGTCGCCATCTTGATCTTTCGAGGTTGCAAAGCATTATGGGTTCTTTATTAAAACTTCTCACTTAGGGAGGGGAGGGTGAAAATTTTGAAAAACTGACGAGATTCGTGTTAGATTTGCTGGAATGTTTTCGTTTATTTATTTTTTACATTGATGTAGTAGTTTAGAAATCTTTAATCTAGGATAACAAACTCTTTTAAAGTAAAAAAACATTGTGTCTCTTAGTTTATATCGGCATGCATTTGGTTTCATCGTTATACAGTTCTACTGGCAATTTACAAGAATTTAGCGTTTAGACTTGTTTAAGACTCGCTCTCAGTTCACATATGTGACTCTTCATGGGAGGAGTTGTTACAAATATTGGAAATGTGTCGGTTGTTTGTCCTTTTCTTGCATGGCACTGTTGCGAGTTTGTACAGCAATTCGATGATTTCTCCGACAATCAACACAGACAGACCTATCCACAAACCGAGTTGACCCCCAAAGTCTGCAAGAAGATTTGGCAGCTGAAAGATTAAACATATTCAAATTAATTGTTTAGTGGGTTGTTGTCTTAGTGGGTTGGTGAATTGATGGATGGGTGGGTTAGTAAGTTGGTGGGTCTGTGTGTCGCTATATTGGATGTGTGGGTTAGTGGGATGTTCAGTTGGTGTGTAGGTTGGTTGGTGAGTTGGTGTATGGGTGGGTTAGTAAGTTGGTGGGTCTGTGTGTCGCTATATTGGATGTGTGGGTTAGTGGGATGTTCAGTTGGTGTGTAGGTTGGTTGGGTGTTGGTTGATGGATTGCTAGATTGCTAGTTCATACTGACCGGATAAGCCTCTTCGTATATTATTCTTTCAAGCGAAAGGTGTTCGTAGAATATTGACAACTTCAAGTAGTTATTTCTGAGAAAAAAAACAATAAAGCCAACTTAAAAAAGGGTGGGTATGGAGAGTTTCTAAGCAAAACTCGCCAGCCATACCCGAGAGCTGAAGGATCCCCCCCGAATCTATRRYTATWTGAACTTGACATCCTGTCCTGAAAAATATCGTCCAAAGTTAATCGCTATGTCAAAGATGCTATGATGATTCATTGTGTAAATGTATGTCAATATATCAGTCAATGTATCATAGATATGCCGTGTTCATGTACATGAATTCATATTTGTTACGATATCATTTATAATTACACTATATTGTCGTGACCACTTGGAGTTTGAAATAGTGTAGCGAAACTGATTTTCTCTGAAAAACAATATKCACAAACTAGAGGTGAGTTGTTGATTTTTTTTYATTGTCAAGTCAGAAACAGATAGTTTTTGCTTACAAGCACGGTTCGGGGCAACTCTTTGCACATTCAGTGGCTTTCTTCTGATAAATACTGAAGACTTCATCGGCACACTTCTCTAGCAATGGAAATGAATACTATTTAGTGCCAGTTATTCCCAACACTTACCCTAGGGTACTGTTCACCTCATCACACTATCCCGAGTCAACCAATCACGTGCTTACTTAATCACTCACTCACTGGATCAATCACTTCTGTCATGTAGATCAGCTAATAGCAATCAYATCAAGTGTATTTTTCATTTAGTTTAGTCATCATGCGGACTTACGTTGCTCGCCGATCTGGCAAGGTGAGGTGCCATTCAATGGAAAKCGTGTCTCGGTACAATTACACTTTCTACGCTGCTTGATGGCCAGGCAAGATTTCCTGCACGTCTAATGAATGCAACCAAATAATTGCACTTTTAAGAACTATTCTAGAAAATATAGTACATAAAATTGCTTTTTGCAAGATTTTTAGTAGAGTTACCAGCACGGAGTAATCAACTTTGAACATCATTTTATAAATGTTTTCTTTTGAAAACTTGTCATCATCGCCGATACAGCTGTTGTTGCCAAAAGGGTCGACTCGCCTCGTATTGACCTAGAGAGAACACAAGCTTCATTGGAAAACTTCTATAATTAAAAAAAAACAAATAACAGAGAAATTACTGAACTCTTCTGATGCCCACAGATGTGAAAAAYCCAGGCGAGACACTAAAACCTTCGTCGAATGGGAAGGGCATCTTTCCCTGGTCTGTAAGGACAACTCTTACTCCAGCTTGATCGGTTAATGACATGTACTGGTTCTGYTTCACATCTATCAATAGTTCAAGGCCTTAAACAGAAAGAAAACTGATAAACTCTCTATACTATTGTATAAACGTCTCTCGTAACTATACCACCTATACATACCATTATATGGCCCTGGTTTATCGACGTTTAAGGGAGGATACTTCTCACCGTCTGCTAGTATCCCAGCGTTAAAGGTATAGCAGTTTCCATACTTCCAGTGCCAGAAATTTGTCCAAAGATTCTTAAGAGAACTAAATGAAATGCAGAATAAACAATTATGAGAAGTTAGGAGTCATAATACATTGATCAAAAAGACTTGTAGGAATCTTCTTTTATCGTTCTGTATAAGCTATCAGAGAAATAGTAATTGATGTGTCATTTCAAAAGATAGGCAGTCGAGGACTGCATGTGACTTAGGACATTATAAGAGATTTAGTAAACTTCGATTTTGCTGAGTTACAAAATGGCAATTCTATAGTCACTCTGAAACCGTGAAAAATCCTTTTGAATGTTGAACGGTGATAGAAATACCYACAATGCATTTCACTCTTGGAACATCAAGTGGCGATCAACTAATTACGTTGTCTATAAATACACACAGGCGGCGATTCCCAGGGGCCAAGGAACCTATTGTATAGATGGTTGATCATTCCTCGTGCCTACAGTAAACATTTCCTTCTGAAAGATTCGGGAAAGGAATTTTTATCCACGACATGGAGTTCTAAGAGCTTTAATTTAGCTGTAATCAAAGACATCTTTCTGTATCTGTTGACTTATAAACTCATGATAAATCCTCGAACGTTTCCTTCGATAAAATGTTTACTATCACTTAAAATGTATTTTTACATATTAATTATTATTCGCCTGATTGTAGTTTTGCAATTAAGACCCCAAAGATTGCTAAGTTTTTCAGTATTTCTTTATCAATTTTTATACGGATTGTCATTCATCCTCTTCAATTGTTAACATTCACATTCACTATATTTAGATTTAATAATGTCTTGATAATCAATATTAATCCATTTGTAAACTTTTATATCACCAAGAACAAAAATATGGAACGTTCAAATGTAATGTTTGGAGTTTCAGAGGTCTTCAATTGTGCTCCATTGAATCCCGGCAAATCTTTGGCACCGGCTAGTGTCTGCCTGGTCTGTAAACCACTTACGTTAAAAATTTCAAGAGATTTTGTCGTGCTGTTTATCCGAATACTAGTAACGTCTGTTGGATATAAGAACTATACACCTTTTCCTGTGATGATTTGGAAAACAATAACGACAATTGAACAGCTCGATAAAAGCCGTCACATTACATCGAGTACATCGGTATTCGGCCGCAAATCAGCACTCGGCACCCACCCCACCCCCCATCAAATGATAAATCCACTGAAGAATGATTATGCAAAAGCGTATCCTTTGCTAATTCCTAAGCTGAGCTCTGATTGGCTCGATACTCCCTAAGGATTTTGGTGACGTCATATATTAGCATAGAACTTCACCGAATAGACTACCCCAATTAGATATTAGATATCTATAAGTGTCTTCATAGTACGATGGTCTAAGAGGGTAGCTAAAGGTATGCTCTAGTGGGCGGCTACCCCCTCACTCCCTGGCCTTTTGGTTAAGACTAAGTTTTATGTTCACTCGGGATAGCGTGGAAGAGCCGAAATCTCTAACCGTAACGTAAGCCGATTCGACGCCTCAGCTTCATAGAATGTCTCGGGGGAATCGTCCCATCTTTTTMGTATTTTAWTTTCATTATTTCTTATGTATGCCAGGGGGGGTTACATCTTCTGCTAAAGTGAAAGTCCTGAGTTCGAGCCCTGTTGCTGGAATTTCTCTTTTTTTTTTTACTTGTTTCTTTTTTTTTTCTTTTTTTTCTTTTTTTTTTCTTTTCTGTTGCTACTTTGTTTTGTTTTTCTCTCGAGGTTTTTTTTAACTAAAAAATATCAAGGACTAGCAAGGAACAACTGCTACAAGTGGATGGATACGGTTCGATCTCTCAACACGATGACATAGTGATGAAAGGCCCCATAAGGCCCTTCGTCACAAACATTCTGTGTGCAATGTGATGTGTCTTACCCAGAGTTACACTTAAAGCCAGACCACTTGCAGTCAACTACAAGTTCATCTAAAGCATGYCCAAGTGGCCTTAGTTSTTCAGGTGGCATTTGCCTCATCACCAACTCAGCAAGGTGTGCCAAAGCGGTTTCTTCRTCAACTGTAGCATTTTCAAACAATTTGTGCAGCTTTCTGGAKGCTGTGTTCTTTTTACTTTTACGGTACTCTCTTTTCCTYGTCGGTATTTCAGACTTCTTTTCTTGAACTATCACATTCTTCAATTCCCCCTTTTTCCACCCAGTTTTCGTCTCTTGTCCAGTATTGCCTGTTGTATCATTTGCTGTTTTTCTTCTTTGCTTTTCCTTTTTTCGGAGTTTCTTTACTATTTTTGCAGAGCTTGTTGTGGTCTGAGCTGTTGTTTGTGGGTCGTCGGCGTTTCTCAGAACGTCAGCCGAGCGCTCTGAAACTGGGCTCGTTGCCTACAAGCAAATTAGGCTTTATTAGTTTTTGCAGTCATTAAAAAGAAACGAGGACCACTGAACCAAATAACTTGTATACTTACATTARCGGTGKTCCGGCTGACATTCGTGTACTTTTCCATCAGATCAWAAAGTTTTTTGGCATTTATTTTTGTATATTTTTTCATTAGCGCATTCTGGTTGCAAATCGTTACGGCAGGAAATGCCAGAGACTGTAATATAGAATAATTCAATTAAATTATGCAGAAATGGACTTATGGAGTAAAACGAAGGTTCAGACATTCGCTGTGMATTGATTACGTCATAGGTAAGTAGCATATAAAAAATGCGGCAACAAATTCTTGATATGCAAGTGTGGTATAAACGTGGAAGATCCTACCTCCTCCTGGGTGACTTCTACTCTGGATATCACAGGTTTGCTCAAGTAGCGTAGGAGAAGTTGTGTACTCATCCACAACATCACCCCATACACGAAACAGACGCTCAGAATCCATAGTGCACGACCGAAATGGCTTTTAGCAGCGTATATCTTGCCAATGCCATGCGCACTAGTCGAGGTTGCAAAGTCTTCAAATAACGATGAACAAGAATCAGGCTGTTCTTGCTCATCTGGTGTACTTTCAGCAATACTTTTGTTATCTTTCGTTTTCTCGTAATTTCTGACCAACAATTCATAAAAACGTAGTTATAAATCATACCATCAATGCGGTGTAATACATTGTTATGGCGAGATGATACGTTATTATACGCTGCGATACGTTATGTCGTTAGATACTACGTTACGTTGTGTTACGTGCGATTACGTTATGGTACATACGGTGCGATACGTTATATCGCTAGATACTGCGTTACGTTATGTTGCGTGCGATTACGTTATGGTACATACGGTGCTATACGTTATGTCGTAGTTACAGTGAGATAGATTATGGAAAGATGCAATACGTTAAGTGGCATGCTCGTAATACCGTAATACGGTGCAACTAACGTTATAAAACGATGAAAAACGTTTTGTTATCGAGCACTATAGTGTTTTCACATGACCATGAAAAAGAAATGTTTCAGTGGACGGAAAATCACTCTAGTATCCTCTTTTATTTCTCTACTTAACATGTTCTGGTCTTGTCTAGTAAGTAGTGTAACTTCGTCCTCAATACGTTTGATAGTTCTTCTAACTRACGGACAGCACATTACCTTGCAACACAGGCCATCTTTCCTTCCTGCTGCAGTACCATTCAAATATTTAAGTCTAATTGTACTGACGAATGTAATAAAATGACTKTACAACCGCTGATCATCCAGATAAGACAAACCTGGATCCATCACCTGTATATTCGATGAGCATTCTACAAATGCAAATTCACATACTTCGATACAAGACAGGATAATTGCTTGTCACTATAACCAATTGGCAACTGAAAGACCAAGTRCATGACTTCAAATAACAGTTGAAGATTATGAATAATGCTACGAAAATGTAGTCGAGAAGAGGTTCGTGATATCAAAATCACAAATTAGCTTGGAGTTATTTTGTATAGTAATATTGAAAGGGGTTATGGATAGGCGTTTCTTTTTTCAAATGCGGTGAATATAATCTTTAMAACAGAACATATACAATTGCTAGCTGTTAGTACAGGAGAGAAACCTCCAAAGTCGATAATGCTTTAATATGAYAATGGCAGAAACTCGTGCATAGTTCTATGACCGTTACTGTCACGGAATGTAATCTTCCTGTCATGTTTGAAGTATCACCTGCTCCATGTGTAAACAAGTTAACTTATTACAAAGTACGTCCAACCAGGAATATTTTAATGTACATTCAATAACTGCTTTGAAACCTGCATCATTCAAGACTCAAACCTCCAGATGAGACATAAGTATGCTTTAAGTTACGAATGTTGTTTGCTTGGTCACCAGTGTTTTTTGATTGTTCGTTTGCGGTTATCAAATTAAAACATTTATGTATAATATTTTATTGTATTTGGCAAACACTTTATGTGTCTCAACATTAGCAAACTTCACCCYTACATGTGGGATTATTTAATGTAAATATGTAGCTATTGCTCATGCTCAATAGAAAAGCTTGCTCACAAGTTTGTTTCCTAAGCTTTAACACCTAAGATGTGGGCTCGCTATTTTAATTCCTAGATCTCCTAGATGTTCATGGAATTCCATGTCGTCAAGTTCATGTGTATATTTTGTATATGAACAACTATGGAGATGCAATCTTTAGCTTCATACTAATTACGTAATGAGTATAACTACATACTAATAAACCCATTATTCTAAATTAACTTTACTAACTACTATTTTGTCCAAGGTTGTCAAGACAATGTTCAGCAGRTTTAAGTTCTCAACATTGCAAAATTGCTAACACATACGACATCTACACTTTGTAACGATGGATATACGCTTGACTTTTTTACCACTTTTCATCTTAGGACATTTCATTTCAATCTTTTGTCTTTTCGTTCTGACGGGAGCACATTTTGAGCAAGATGAAAAGCTATGTCTTCTTTTGGGGATGAAGAAAGACCAGCATTGGCCATAGCACATATGGTTGTTGACGTAAAGTGGTTCGCAGCCTGGATGACGGATCTTTTGTCTGATTACTTTCATTTGACACCATTCAGGGTGCTTCTCGATGTCTGACCTTCCCAGAGGAAGAATAATTTTGGTTGTTGATCTAAGGAGGTTAATGTCTGAAGACAGAACTAAAGCGAACAATTCCATGATGATCAAACAAAAACACATTGCTGACATACTAGCAATTCGTCTTTTTCCTGACATTGTGATCTAAAAGACAACAGACCAAGCTCGAATAAGAATTAAAAAAATCTTAAAATCAGTCTCATTCTTACTTATGTTTACTCCAAATAACCCCGAAACGTCGCAAGATATTTCCTATACTTTTTACGGCGGAAAATTTATGTTATTTCACAGCTGTTATTTAAGTTTTGTCTTATTAATTCATCTGTAGTTTTCTCACTCAGGCTGAGCGATGAAAATCATATCCCGAGCCAACGCCCACTTTGTTAAATACACAGCACAGTATTACAGTGCGATATCTTTGAACATTTTGTAATCGCAATGAGCTTCCAGATGCTTTGAGATTTTGTGGTTGTTTATTGAACGTTCGTGAAAGGATTGAGCAACATTTGAAGAAKTTAAAGAGGTGAAAACATAACAGCGAAACCACAAAACGTTTGCAATAACTTACCAATTTTCGAGCTCTTGTTGCAGTTTCTCTTGAAATATGAGTACGAGTATTTTATCAACTGCTTTCCTTCTTTTATAGAAACACGGAATGAAAGATAAATTTCGCCTCTTTAATGCAAAACACTCATTCAGTACGCCCTCGTAGCCCTACCACGAAACAATACGGAACAAATAAAAAGGTTTACAAACTTTAAACATTGAGACAAAAAGCGTAGGCATAGTGTGTTGCTCTCTTACTTGCTCATTTCTCCTGACTTGAAGACTTTGAGCCACTAGAAGATATTCTTATTTCTTAGTATTACAGCAGAGTTATATTCAGAGTTATAACCAATCATCTAAACGTCACTTTATGGTTTCAAAGCTCGTGTTCATACGGAAGGTCGTTGACAAATAAGTATCACAGTCTTTTACTTAATGTAGAAATACCTTACTGGTTAATAAAAACCACAAATAGCTGCAAATAGCACGTAACTCCTCACGAATGGTCGTGGGCTTTCAATTGCCTCTTTTATAATAGTGGATCTTTAATATGTTTCATGCTAAAAATAGCCATCTACTTCCCGTTTTCGATCGTGCATCATTGAACATTTTATAATTGAATTCTAGACACACACACATGGAACACATATGCTACTTTGAAACTTCCTTTAAGATAGCGTATAAACTCAATATAAATGTGTTATAAAGGCTATATATTATAGTTACATACATCATTGGGAGTAAATTTTCCTTCCTTYATTTCACAACCAGCCAGGCACCACGCAGCGTACGGATCTCCTGACCCCGTTTTTAATTTCTTTACGTTAACCAAATTAAGGTGATCAATTTATCATTTGGTTGTGACAAATTGAAATCGGGCGATAAAAATAAACTGCGTTCTACATGTAGGGAGCAAGGAGAAGTTGAATTAGAGAGAATTAGCTAAACCACCACAAGAAACCCTAACTGCTTGGGTTTTGCTGGGTCGAACTTATTGTCGGTCATTATGTCATGTTTTCATTCATGAYATAACATCTCTCATTTATTTATTTCACTATTTTATTACTCCATCTTTTCATTGATACATTCATGCCATTATTCTTCGATAATTTCCATTATAAACGTGACTGCATTCACTCACAGTTTTGTACTATTTGCATTCCABTTCGCACGCTATTTGTTCTCTGTCGCGATTATTTCGCGCATCCGCTCATCTGTCCACCATTACAATGCTTAATTTTGTTTTACACAAGAATCGAACTACATTATTGTARTAGATGATAGAAACTACGTAATCTCTTTCTATGGTATTATATTCTTTCTGTAATTACGTACTATTACGTAGGTACCTAATAGAGCTGCGTAAAGACTTTTAGTCTAATATCAGAAGCCAACTGGTCGGGACGTTGATTTGTTGCTTCGACTTAATTTCGTAAAAAWTTATGACAAAAACGGAGGAAAGAAAATATGGAACTTGATACAAAAGACCTGAACGTGTAAAGAAAGAGGACGTGAGCAAATTGAGGCATAAAAAATTCATGGATTAATCGAATAGAATTGATGGGGCGAAATGAATTACTTACAAATTGAATGAAAAAAAATGACATTTCGCGCCCTTCATTTTGATTTGACATGATTAAGAACATGAAAAATGGTTCCGAGATTTTTTCTTTCAAACCCACGCACAAACAAATAGATTACATTCCGCCCCTCGCTCCATATTTTCGTTTCTAATCAGAGATTGCGGCGCAMTTAGTCTGTGCACTTGTTGCTGCRATATGACCGKAACAATCACAGCGGTTTCCTCTAAAGTCAAACAATAATTTGATTTTATACAGGGGYGGTAATACAATGAAARCACACCTGCTAAGAACAAACAACTTGATTCATCAATAAAACAGAGCCTTAGAAGAGAAGAAAAGAAATAGAAAAAGATTTACAAGAGAAGAGATCCAGCGGAAATAAGACACGAGGAGTGAGAAAACACCATCTAACAGTACATGGTGCCTGTATAGTTTTACTAGTTCATGTTAGTTTTAATAACATGTCTGCTTTATAACCAAACAGGAAGAGGTTTGCATATTAGCTAGCAACAAGCATTAGATATGCATAAATATTGATTTTATAGATGGATTAAAGACACCTTGCAAACTTCCTGCTTTCTCAGTGAATGCAAAATTGCATTCTGTCCATTCTAAAATTGTTGTTCTAAAACAAACTTCATAAAAAGAAAGTTAAATAGATGATCTTTTATGACGTCATATTGAATGTCCTCAAGAATAATGTATTCAAGATGTCGTCATATTTCGGAAAATATGACATCATAACATTTAATAATTAAAACAGTGCCGTGACCCTGCAGGCATTTTGAAATGATCGATCATCTAGTGACAAAATAAGCGAAAACATGAAGGCTAGACCATTTACATAGAGACGATAGCGATGATTTAGCATCTTTACTTGTCAAGGAAATGAACGGCAACTGTAAAATGCTTTGATTTTTCTGGAAACCACCGAATGATACATATCCGCGAACCATTCCATAGTCACAGTCTGCAGAAAAAAGTGCATGACGCTATTGTTCTCTGTGTAAATGACGGTCTGCAAGCAAGCTAATATAATGACCCGCGGCGGATCAGGAAAACGGTTTCTAATTTACAAACGATTGGCAGGTTTAAAAAGCGCGTGTCAGATACCAGGATGATATTCAATCCCGCCCACTCGACTCCTTGGAGGCAACTCGTGTGGTTCACAATTGTAGTAGTTGACGGGTCATCTTCTATCGTGTCTGATTGAATGACTGTCGTCTTAAACGAACAATCCTTGCTTCACGATGGACATCATTCAAGTTCTAGTTTTCGTGATTCTTGCTTTTACTGTCGAATGCCAAAGACCAAGAGAAGAACGAGTTACAAACTGTCCGTGGGAGTGCATGTGTTCTCAGGATATCGCCAATAAGAATATGGGTACAGGAATATTAGTTAATTGCACAGGAAGAAGACTGAAAAGGTTTCCATACCCTATGCCATCGACAACAACCAAGTTGTAAGTACCTCATTAGAAAACCCTTCCAATGTTTTGGAACTGGAAGCCATCAAAGTGCTGGAAGCCATTCCAGTGTCAAGTCATGTCGAATTAATGATATTTGAGCTGAAGGAGAGGATTAAAGTTTCCCTTTTGTGGTTATGATACATAGTTATTTTTGTCGATTCTTCGCAGTTGCTAACTATCTGGTGATAACTGACTACTAAAAAAATTAAAGAGTTTCCGATAACTGACATTATCCCAGTTCCATCTGTGCGAAGTAGTCAGGATGTAGTAAGCGTAAAAGATATTTTGAGGTCACAATACTGAATACTTTATCGATTTCTGTATCTTATTTGATTTTAGATCCTAAAACAAGATACCTAGTTATTGGTTCTTTCCAATATCTAGTGTTTTGAGTATATTACAATTATGTTTTTTTAACATATTAACCGATGAGTGACTGTTATAGAAAACATCACGAAAGCCTTTCAGAACAAAATAATACCGTCGTCAATGAATGTAAAAGTCAAACATGGTTCATACCAACGCATAGTAAAACCCCTACAGATAATATTCGTAAGCTGGGGATCGGAAAATATGTCTATTTATGCTGTGGTTTAATTTGATAGCCTCACAATACTCTGCATGCGTTATTTACTTCAATTCTTTTGTAAATATTTATAAATTTACTTTGTTCTGTGTATCGCACCAGCGTAAATTATTTAGAGATTCTAAACCTCCGTTGCAGACGTCTAGTAGTTCGCCTAAGGGCTCCTTTTGCTGCACAACACCAATGAATCATCTTATAATATTTGACAACGCTGTTATTGTCTTCCTCCCGACAACCAGCCAAACCGGTTTGATGCGTATTAGTTGACAAATCAAACATTTTCAGACTTATCACAAAACCAACTAAATCACTGTATGGATACTGGCCAACCTGAACGCCTAAGACTCCTTAGCTTGAATTTGTCTCCCAGGATCAGAAAATACCTATCCTTAACTGTGCTTTATGTCACGCTTTTAAGAATGGAATCACCATCATTGATGTTCATCACCATCATCAATGTTCATCAGCATCATTGATGTTATTGTACTATCCCCTGATAGTTCTCATCAATCTCCATCAATACCAAGTATTAACTATTAGTTCTTTATCATATCAGCCGCGCACCATTTCTATGATTACCACCAAGATAGATTTCAATAACACGACGATAGACACCGCTAATTCACCAATGTTTTCAAAACACACACAAGGTTAAGCATAGYGACTGATAGCAGCGAATTCTCTTCAATCCGTGGCCTATTGATAACATATGTCGATAATATCGTCTACCGATACCATCTAGTCCTTATTTTAACCCCGAGATCAGGTTTTTGTTTGTATTTCATATGTTCCTATTGTACTTTTTCGTTTGTTTTGGATTTTTCATTTATTTAGTGTTAGGAAATTGGGCCGTTTTTAGGGGAATGGCCAGGGCCGTTTTTAGAGGAGTGGCCAGGGTACCCTACTGCTTTTATCATTCACCTACCTATTTATTCATTCTGCCAGTCTGTCCATACACCAGACAGTGAGAAAGTCATCGTACTGAACTCACTCAATCAATAAAACCTTTTCTTTCTAGAATCTTAAGTAAAAACAGGATCTCATCAATCTCTGCGAATGACTTCAAAGCAATTCAGCATTTGAGGATATTGTAAGTAAAATTGCACTCATATATAAAGACTTTACTTGTACTGCGGATCGATGTGCTCCTTTTGAAGACTGCACTCTGTCAGTAGTAGTATGACGGTGTCATATCTTCAATTGTTTCAGGAACATGGAAGGAAATCGTCTTAAAAAACTATCAGTTGATTCGTTCGGACATCTACCTTGGCTGTCTACATTGTGAGTCCAAAAAAGGAAATCTCTCATCATTATCATGACAATCATAATGATAGTCATCGTCATTACTTCATCAAGAATCATCAGAGTAGAAATGAAATATCAACTAAACCTGACCCATTTCTTTGCAGAAATCTCCGTAGAAATCGTATAAGTGAGCTGCAATTTGGATTTTTAGGCAATGCTCCGAACATAAAAGTTTTGTAAGTACGTTAATTAGCGCCAAACGTAAGGCAGAGAGCTTACGGATGATTTACTTTCTCGTAGAATCCTCGCAGAGAACAAGATATCGGAGCTAAAATACGGCTCATTCGATATCGTCGATAAACTGGAATTTCTGTAAGTAAAAATGTGTCACGTAAAGCAAAATATATACCGCAATAAACCTTTCAGTAAGGGGTGTTACGTAAAATCAACATTCGTAGGCATTTAGCAAACGAGACACCAGCTAAACTTAAAGATTGAGTGTTTTGTTGCAATTATAATCATATGAATTAATTTTGACTTGTAATTTGCAGTGATTTAAGCAGGAATAACATTAGTCGAGTTCAGGATGGCTCATTCTTGGGACTAAAACGGCTRAAAACATTGTAAGTTGCTATTCTTGTCAGTCTCTCACATTCTTAAGCTAGACTGATCTGTCCCCTCTCTATGTCCGTGCGTCGTTTGTGGCTGTCGCTTTGATGCCAATCAGGATTTTTTTGCTTTTTGCCAGGTTTTTGAATGACAACAGACTAACCAAAGTATCTTCTCAATTATTTCCTGATGTCTACTCCCTCAAGTCACTGTAAGTCACCTACTGAACGTTCACCAAATGATTGACAGCACTCACTAATAGCTTTAACATTTGTTATGCTGTCCGTTTTCAGGCACTTGGACCGTAATCAGATAAAGTGGGTCCAGCCAGAGTCTTTTCTGCGTCACCGATACCTAGAAGTACTGTAAGTAACCGTGTACCTGCGCAAAGACTCAAGGGAAGCTAACTGATCCTCCTAGTACTCTTATGCAATAGAATACTGAATATTATCTTGTTTTCTTAATAGACTTCTGAACCTTTTACGTCACTACTTGATTTTCAATGCATTGTGGGATCAGTTTCAAGAGAAAACAAAAGAAATCCGCCATGTTCTGTCCCAAACATATCCTACAATGCATTGYGTATACGGTACATGACGTAAAAGCTGCAGAGGTCTATTGCTTACTCTATTTCACTATCAAACCCAGGTCCCTTGGCGACAATCGAATAAGTCACGTGACCTACTCGATGCTGACAGGACTCAAGATGCTAAAAGAATTGTGAGTGATTATGATCATGTTATGACATTGATAATGCATTGACATGTTGTATGAATGTGTTATGCTTGTTTCCAAGATATTTGCAGCGAAATCAAATCACGAAAATCGACCCATGGTCCCTCACGCAGCTGAAAAACTTGGAAACTTTGTGAGTTGAAAACAGTGCGCTTCCATTTGTGTGAAAACAAATAAAATCACTTATGATTGACGTTTGACTCTTTAAGGTATTTATACTCCAACTTCCTTGATGAAATTACACCAAACGTTTTTGTTGGACTTGGGAAACTGAGATTCTTGTAAGTGTGACTTGCATTAGTTGTATAAACATCTTTGGATGGTTAATTGGAGTGACTTTGTTCTTTTATGTTATTTCAGGCATCTTGRAATGAACAACATTAAATACATTGCAAACGACGCTTTTGTTGACCTCCGAATACTGGTGACGCTGTAAGAATTGCCGCACGATAGCATCAAGTATTCCCCTTAACAAACAACTCACTCACTCACTCACTCACTCACTCACTCACTCACTCACTCACTCACCCACTCACTCAACTGATCAATTTGCCATCCAGTCAAAGGATTATCCAAATATATTCTTTTCGATTTATTTCTTTAATCATTATCTTGACGAACTTTTGCATGTCGTTGCTCTAAGGTCATTAGATTCCAATCGAATCACTACACTTTCGCCAAGAACTTTCTCTGGACTTCGACAACTTATGGACTTGTAAGTATTGCACAGCACAACACACAATTTAATGCAATAAAGCTGAAAGAAGGTTTCCCAATTATTACTCCACAGGCAGTTGTACTTCAACAATATATCATTTGTTGCCAAAGATTCCTTTTCTGAGCTTATAAAGCTAAGTAGACTGTAAGTATATAGAGCTATATGCTTAGTCCATATTAAGTCAACTGAACAACCTGTTTTTGTCTTAGTGTTTGGGATGTTCCTGCGTTCTTCAAAGGTCAGCGACAGTATGCAGACGAAGTAGGAAACAGCCTACACTGCGACTGCAATGTATTATGGTTAAAGGATTGGCTTCGACGAAACAAGAAAGCAAGAATAACCTGTCAATCACCACCAGCACTCAAAGGGCTTCCTTTGATTTCTCTGAATCATGCAGATACAAAGTGTGGTAAGACAGAACTGTCTGTCTGTCCTTCGTTCTCTTTTACTAAGACTAATTCAAGTCTCTCTTCAACCGCAAATATCATTTTCAGAGCCAATCTCCGTCAAAGTGTCACCTAAGAAACTGCTGACCCTAGAGGGCGATGACGCGGTGCTCAATTGTACAGTGAAACCCGGAGCGACATATCTATGGACACTAAATGGTACTGCTGTAAAACTCGACTCGTATCATACAGTCAACCCTCTCGGTACTCTCACTATTAAAGCAGTTAGTCGCAAAGATATTGGTCAGTACGTATGTATTGCTGAAAACGCTGCTGGTGTTGCTGCAGATGCTGCAGATCTTAGTCTTGGAGGTACGAGCTAATAAGACTATAATAATAATCAAATAGCCGACCTTCTCCAAAACTGAACATTTTGGTCTTTTTGGCCTGCAAACATATCTTGTGTGTGCAAACTTTACAGGTCACGGGATCAAAAGTTATGAGGTGTTGTCTTCTTGTATTACAATTACTAACCTAGAATGAAACCGCCTTACAGTGTGAAATTGAGATCAACTTATTTTTTTTACACCAAAGCAAGGCCGTCATTCACGATTCTACCCGACGCACTCGACCTGGACGAACCACTAGAACCAGTAATCTTCAAATGTAGCGCCAGAGGAATCCCAACACCTACAATAACTTGGCTCAAAGATAACCTAGAGATACGCGTAGCAACCGAAGATTCGCAATTTCACATAACGTCAGAGGGAGCCCTTGTTTTTGTTGGCAAAAGGCACCATATCACCAGAGAGGGGAATTTGATTATTGTAAATCCTCGCGAGGAAGACGAAGGATCGTACACATGTGTGGCTCAGAACAGTTTAGGAAAAGAGTCCTATAGCATCAACCTTTACGTTGWTATGAGTAAGTTATACTTCAAGACACGAAACCCCACATATACCCATACATCCAATCACTTCCAGATCCCTTTTGTTTACAGGTGAGCTTGAAGTGGAATTCATCAAAATGTGTTTTTTCTAGGTTCAAAGTGTCTGTATGGCTGTAATACAGGAGGAGTGTGTCGACCATCTCAATATCAGTGTATTTGTACACAGGGATTCCATAAACAGGGAAATCAATGCATACAGGGTAAGTACTGATGGGCGTATCCTACACGTGCTAGGATGCATGGACTTATCACAATTTCACTTTGTAAATCTTTTTACTAGAATTTCTAACTTATAAAACATTGATATTTTATAACCAGATGTTATTCCAACAACATCCGCACCTTTATCGGGATCTGGATCCGGCATTGGATCGGGAAGTGGAGTTCCTCCTACTTCTGATACTTTTACCGCTATTATATCTGGTGAAGGCCCTGTGGATGAATCAGGTGACGGTGGTTCAGGAGCCACGCCTGCACCATCGACTACAAAGAAACCACCAATTGACCAGGAACAGTCTGGTGATGAGTCTGGTTCAGGGACCACCCCTTCTCCACCATTTGTAACAAAACCACCAATTGACCAGGAACAGTCTGGTGATGATGGTTCAGGTGCCACTCTTACACCATTTACTAATTCACCACCAATAGACCAGGAACAATCTGGTGAGAGCGGCTCAGGAGCCTTGCCTGCACCATTTACCAGCTCACCACCCATCGATAACAAACAGCCTGGTGACAACCCTACAACTCACACTGAACAAACTACACAAAAGCCAACACATCTACCAGCAAGAACAGAGAAGATTGTTGTCATCGACGCGGCCAATACAGGAAGTGGCGACTCTGACGAAAGCGGAAGTGGTAGTAGCGGTAGCGGGGAAAGAGAATCGTCCCAGGTTGTTCAAGGATTAAGAATAGGTTGGTATTTCTTCATTTGATCTCAACAATTAAGAAATATGATCTTTATCCAATTTTTGTTTTTAGGTAAACACAAACATCTACCACCTGCTAGTTCTGTGATTGGGAATGATAACCCCCCTCTACAAAAACCACCTCTAAGCTAATGGTACTACTTCCTTCTCAAACCACCACTAGATTAAAGTTATTCTGCAACACTAAAAGACAATAGTCTTGCTATGGGAAGACTTGCATTTGTAACATTATCAAAGTACAACAATTCAGTGATCTTGTTACATTGTCTACAGCTACTTCATTTCACTTTTTTAGCGCTTCCAACCATATCACATTTGAGCTGATAAAAAGTAATAAAACAGCAGTGTACTTTAAAGAAATTGAAAAGGACATTCACCAAACAGCATTTCAAGCATGGACAATATTCTTATCAAGGATAAATAAACTACTTGTAAATAATACTGTTCATTTTAATGGACAATTGTTCATTGGAATGAAGGACTTTTCCAAAAAGATAAGCAATTATCTGACTTTATTTTACCCCAGTAAAATGGACTTGAGCAGTATCAAGTTCAGAGAAAAGTAAACATGTAATGACCCAAGAATCACACAATTTTTAAACAATTTATTTGTTCCAATTTACAAATGTTTTAAGTACACAGATATGCTTTACAAAACAATATTGTACTCAATCAACAGCCATCAATAAACCAGCCATATGCCATGACAGTAACATTCTGAAATTACAAACATACCATCATTAAAATGACATAATGATGTGTTATCTACTGTTAATGACAACAATTCCTTGATCAGATTGAGCAACTATATAAGTTTGCAATACTTTGCTGCTAGTATTTAAGTGGTACCTCTCCTTACAATAGTCAATGTGCAGCGACGGCATTTTGTGCAACAAAGGATCATGGTAGTTGTAGTCATCACACTTTTTTATGTCCGCTAAATCAGTCCTCCTACCAGTTTTTGCTTTTTCTGACCAAAAATAGAAGTATTTGTGCTGTTTTTAGAAAGAAAATGTAAAAACAGCTTTTAAGGAGATATTTTAGTGTCTATGAAAAGTGCAAGGACTACAACTACCATCATGCTTTGCTGCACAAAATGGCGTCGCTGCACATTGCCTATTATCCTTAGCAATCTTAGATGTGGTATCAGAAACTGATGAATAGCATGAATAGAGAATTGGGCCATTTTATAGTAGGGAACTGCTTAATGACGCTATAAAGAGCTACCACTGTAACAGCAACGTCTAGTTGAAAGTGACAGCATTTTAAAGTTAATTTAATGTTAATAATAAAGCAAATTTAAACACCAACTGACCATTCTACTTAGCAAGTCCAAGTTCTTCTGGTGTACTTATCCCCAATTCTTCAATGACTGGCTTACATTCTTGAAGAATGTAGCTATATATCTCTTTGTTACCAACTGCCTTGTCTTTGACTGCTTCAAGAATTCTCACTGACATACCAAAGTCATTGAGACGACGACAGGCATGCAACATAGCATTTATGATTTTAGGTTCAGGTACAAGGTCATGTCCATATAGATCATTCAGACCACGTCTGAGTTCCCAAGAATCAAGATCTGGTCTGTGAACAGATAAACAAAGACATCATCACTTCCAAAGAAGATCCATTTGGCTATCATCTAGTGAGTTTTGCTTTATTTTGCATTATCCTTTATGTTATTTTTACATAATGACAAAAACGTTACTCAATAATTGGGTACAGTAACTTGAATTKATTCATAATTTCACCTGCTAAAGTATGCCTCCCATCTTGCGTCAAAAGCCTCTTCTGTCTCTTTTGGTTTGTTACTCGATGGACGAGCAGTTGCACCTTCAAAGAAAAATGTACACGTAAAACTGACAATGAATAGTATCATTATTTGCGTCTTATTGCAATGGAAAACCAAAATGGACGATCATATAATATTCAATTCGTGCATCTCTGCACACACCAAGGCCAAATACCAAACACCGGTCGATCTACCGGCGAACATATTATATTATAGCAGAAATAACAAATATTTCTGGACTCACCTAAAGCTGGTACGGTCCTTATAACAGCGGGAGAAAATAATCGTTTACTGACAATCCTTAACATCTTGATTTGCTAAGCTAGACTGCGCCAAGAAAGACTTCAATCTCAAAATTTCAAGATGGCCACCAATGTACGATACAACCCAGAATGCAATGTGATTTGCCAATGCAAACCGCTGACGACTACGAATGCTGACTATCACACAGGGAATCCAAATCAAACTTTTCTAACTAATCTATCCTTCTTATCCCATCGTAGAGTGTGGTATGTATGTTAAAACAGTGGTAGCTAGTTACATGGAAGAGATTCATTGAAGAATATCAATGTTCTGATTTGTTTTTTTTTCATGGGGATCCAGATCTGGTCAGATCTCATTGGAAAGGAAACCAAATTGTGATTGATCAACACTGACTTCATGTTAATATGTAAGAAATGATTTTCGTGGAAGATTATGAAAAATACACAGATAATAAAGTAAGTGAATTTATAAATATTTTCCATGTTCTCTTATTCAAGTTAATTAAGGTTTTCCCTGTCAAAGATCCTTTATCAAAATCTATCCTTTTAAATGACAAGCTAAAGCCAGTTGGCCGTGATTGTAATCTCAGAGGACCAGCTGATGTTGTGAAAATAGAGCATTCTTTGTAAGAAGTGTGGTATCCAGGGAAACCACAGTGATCTAGTAAAAAAAAACAACAACATCCAATCAAGCTGAAAGAGGAAAGAGGGATATTTTGTGGAGAAGTTTGAATTTACATTTCACATTTAGCAAAGCTTAATCTTAGTTTAACTTACTTTATATATACTTTATTTCACTAACTTGATCATGTTTGATCTAGTTTGATCATGGTGTTTAATATTCAATATTATCCTCTGAAAAAAAAAAACATTTTGTTTACTTTTTATTGTTTTCTAAATCTGTGATTCATGCTTTACTCACCTTGTTGACAATAGACAATTTTTCTGAGATAGCAGAATGATTTCAAAAATATTGCAGGCAAAGAGACTAAAGAAAATTTTCACAAACAAGCCTACTTCAAAAATAAGATATTAGTTTTTTGTTGCTTTTAATGAACGAAACGTGGTTTGTATCGTCTTAAATGTATAAAGTAGTGCTTAATTTGATAGAATCACCCTGCAACTATAAATTCATGAATGTACAAACTCTTGGAAATACCACACTTATGTAATTTCTCGCGCGCTGATTGGCTGATTAGAGTGTGTCAATAAGAGGACATGCACACTCTGTTGACACAATAATTTTCACTAATTTTTAGACTAAAAATGTGTTAAAAAATGCGCTTGTGGGTCCATTGGAGTTTTGAACAWTTTATGACTACAAGAATGTGTCAAATAACATACAACTCAAAACCGTGCGCAATTTGTTAATTTTGGCTTTTGTATTGGAGAGACGCCACCGCTGGACATGTACTTTCCAGATGTCTCTCAGGTCAGCAGTGCTACTTACACGTAAATTTCTGAATGTATAAACCCTTTCATTCGAATTCAGAAATTGCATTTATGTACCTGTCAAACCGTAAAATTGCCTTTCATCTAGATGACGAGCTTCGATTTAGCGGTACATTTCAGTATATTCCAAGAATAATAATAATAATAATAACTTTATTTAAAACACCTTATGAAAATATGTACAGTGTTTTTTACAAGATATGTATAATAAATATATGTACAGATTATTTACAGTATAAGGGAAAGAAAAAGAGAGGTATAAAAAGTTCAATACATATTTAAAAAGTTAGAGTAAAATAGAATTAAAATTTAGTAAAGTACATATATAATACGCTAGAGTAAAAAAGAGTAAAATTCAGATCAGTTCCCATTCAAAAGTCCCAACGCCCTGGGAACGAAAGATTGTTTGTGTCTCTTAGTTTTGGATATAGGAACGTGAACTTGGTGGGTGTTCTTCCTCCTTAAACTGTAACTATGATTGACTTTAGTTGACTGTTGTAATAAATGGTTTAAGTTCTTATTTTTAATAATTCGTTCGATATCTTTCTTTGTGAATTCGTCTCTTCTTTTMTCAAGCGGTTCTAAAGTGTCCTTTGGTAAGGCCAAAATCCTCAAACAGAATGCACGCTCCACGGTTTATATGCATTTCTTGTTTACTTGACGCTTCCATTCACTTGTAGAGTTTGTAGAGGATCTCTTTCTTTATCTGCCATTCTGAAAACATCGCTATTCAATGTTTTGTGGATGTTTTGTGCAGTAAAACTTGATAATGTCCCTCGGCAACAATTTCAACCAACTTCGCGCCTTCTGGGTTTTGGTGACGTAATACAAGTTCATCCAATCAGGATTCGCTATTTAGGGAAATGTCCAATTTTTTCTTTTCTTGATGCTAAAAATCTTTCTATTTAGTGCGTATAAAAAGATAAAATAAAGACAGTCACCGATATAAAACTTATTTAATTCTCGTGCAAATATTGTCCCATCTATTCATTTCCTTACTTATATTTTTCCATTTCATTCACAGGATGATTCTCATTGGATGCCTTTTAAACAATACATAGAAAGGAATGAAACAGCTGCTTTTAGTTGGACAGAAAACGATATCCAAAAGCTGATTAACAAAGCATTCCCTGGTGACGTTTTAAAGGCTAATGAATGTATCACTAGGTCTCAGATCACAAAACAGGAAAAATGTTGTCCAGATTCACTTAAAAATATTAGTGACACTATAGAGAAAACAAGCAACAATTATGACTTAACAGGCAACAAAGCTATGACGAATAGACTTTTTCAAATGAAATCATCCAAAGAATATTGGGAGCAACTATCCATAAGTGCATATAAAAAGAAACCTGTTACAAAAAAAGCAATTCAATGGAAACAGAATTATTTGAATGTTCTTCCTTTGCATAATAATTCAGATGAAAGAAATGTTATTTACACAGACATTAGTAGTGCTATACAATGTTCAAACTCTTTGAATTCTGATGACTCAGACAGTGAACACACTGAAGAAATGATTAAGATATGTGATCCAATATACAGTAGATTTGGCGAGATACGTGATGTATTCCATACCTCAGAAGATGGGATAGTCTTTTACACGCAAAAAGAGGTAAAAATTAGTTCACTATAAGAGAAGTTCCTTTAAAACTGTCCATTCTGTTAATACAAATCTGCAGAAGAGCACTTTAAGGGCTGGGGAAGGGAGGGAATTTGCATTCACACTATTTCAACGTTTGGAGCATGCAATATATCAACATAGTTGACTTTTACTCCAGAAAATAGGGACACTATAAATTTACTTGTAAGAAATGCTTATTACATTTTTTTCCCAAGAAAGTTGGATAAATACAAAGTTAAAATGGCTGGTCTAAAGGAGGTGTTACATAGTGAACTGGAAATCATAAGACACCAGCATGACTATCTGAAGGTGAGAACAATCCTCCTTCCCCTCCCTAGTAAGAAAAAGGATATCACTTATTTAGCATTGTAATCCTCACAAACACTTATATTATTATAAATAAATAAAAACGATAATTGTATTTGCTAACCTGACCTTTTACCATATTACTGATAATTATTGGGTATGCAGGTGACACTGCTTGTAAAATTAATATAGCATGAGTTTRCTCTTGAATTTTGTAAAGTAAGTCTCAGCAAAAACAAAAGGTTATATTAAGTGAAAAGCTAAAAACATTTATTAACCTTTTTCTAAAACATTAGAAGGAATATCTTTTTTTATTGAATTAAGAACAATACACAAAAAGGTTGACATTTCAATTCTGCAAAGAAACACTTTATTTTCATATTTTTCATTTGTTTTAAACATTTAATTGGCCCTTGTTGATGCTCTTCTATGCAATAAAACGTCAAGTGAACCATTTTACTGGTACCAGTGTGAAATAATTGGATGTATCTTTTCTCATTATTTGATATAATGGTCAGATATTTCTAATTATGATAACTATTTTGGTAGAAAGCACAGCTAGGAATTGTGAGCCAGTTTCCCCATGAAGGCAAGGTGATGTGAGTTGAAATTATTCTCATTTCAAGTTATCAGTAGCATCGTCATGCCCTCCTGTTTGACTTAAGACACAGGTTTTTAAAGGGATGTTATATTTTCATTATAATTATAATGCAAAATTCATAAAAAAACACAATCTTTTTAAATGAGTTTGTCAGGTGTAGAGATATATAGCAAGTCATTTCTTTAGAGCAAATGAATCAAAACTGGTAGCCATTGGAGCATKCCATTCTGTTTTTTTAAATGATTTATATTTAAAAGCATAAAATGGCTAAGATAACATTGGTAATCAGCCTTTCTTACAACACTAATAGAGTGATCAAAATAGTCCTGGCTTTTCATTGGCTGACCTGTCATATTCAAAGACAGTGGGAGGCAGAGTCTACATTGAATAAATATTGGTCTATTCTGTTTCATTTAAATATACTGAAGCAAATTTCCATAACATTGAGCACAAGTTGTGTTGTGTCTCCCATGAAGATGCTATAATCTAACTAAAACATTAAGGAGAGAAAAGAGTAATTTATAGCAATGACACTAGCACCCAAACATAACATTTAAAAGTCAAATTTGTTGCACCAGGATTTATTTTTGAGAAGAGGAACACGTTCAATTGTGAATATAATTACTCTGTAAAGGATGGTGAGTATCCTCAAATGCTTTAAAACTGATATTGCTTTTTGTATTTTTGACAACATATATTGTACCTATATGGTGGGTCTATTGAAAAAAAAACCTCTTTAAAAAAATCACAGCAAATTCCCAGTCGACTGTTATAATTCATGTTTTATCTTAAGTCTATCTTTTTTCTACAAGCAAGCAAGTTTAGATTTCTGAATAATTTATTTTTTCTTTGACATAATATATTTATAATTGGTGATTCAGAAATAACAGATAAATTCTCCAATTTGATATTATTTGCAATTACTTAATACAATTCAGTGAAATAATGATTCCACTTACAAAAATGTATGTGTTTTAGTTTTTTATGCTAATAGAATCAACTAGCTGTGAGGAAATTGGGATCTGTCATCATTAAGAAAGCTATTTTGAATAAAAATACGACCAGCTTTCATTAAGCAGTTCTATCATACTGATACTTATCTCAATTTCACCACAGGCAAACACTGATTATATCAAAGAGAGATTTTAATTTTTTAAACTTGAGAAAATAATGAAATTTAAGATATATATTTAGCAATTTCCCCTACAGCTATACTGCAAAAAGCATTTCTTCAATTCATGAAGACAATTATCTTTTGCATATTTAAAATAACAAACTTTTATCTTGAATTTATTGAGAATTACATAAACCTTTGGTTTAGGTGTTCCCTGTTTGAACCATGCCCTAGCTTTTCATGTTCAAAGCTCATTTAATCAAACTATTTTTGATTTGTACATAATATATACAAGTTGAACCTTGTAATCATTCATAAAGGTTGTCATGTGTTCATGTCATCAATTTTCCTACATAGCCTGTGGGAAGACGTATCAATATTTTTGAGTGACATGATATTTTGTTATTGCTACAAGAAAGTTGAATTAAAATCCTTATCTGATTATTATAATTGATTGTTTAATGGTGCAATTAATTTACTTTTTAAGCACACTTAAATTTTAGAAATAATAATATTTTGTTGTAACTGTATCTATAGTGAATTTTGGCATTTTCACTGTCTGGGTTTTTCTATCAAATTACATATTTTATTCATAGCACCGTCAATGACAGCATGTGTCTTTCATGACCTATCATGCTATACGTATCTTAACACATCACAAATTTATACATGATTCATCTTTCCTGAATGCCTTTAATATTTTCACTTTAAATAATAAAAAGATTATGATTATAGCAATTAAACATCCATTTAAAGGAAATGTCTTTTCTAAGAGCATTTTAACAAATATTCCTGTTATAACATGACAAGCACATGATTTTATATTAATTTCCTTATAGTGGTAACACTGACAAAAAAATAGCTAGTTGTATTGCATGTAAACATTTTTCTTAATTTTTCAAAATTTACATTTGCAGCCAGTGGCTGAATTGCAGTAAACAAAGTTACAAAGGATGTGATTATTCAAAATATGTACAAAACTTATACCAGCCTTATTTAATTAATAATTAAACTATTGACAAGCTTGTTATGATAATAATAATAAAATAATAATAGTAATAATAATAATAATGATGATGATAATAATAATTCTAATAATAACTAAAATTTCAAAATATTTACATTTAAAACTTTTAAAAAGTAAAGTAATAATTTGTATAATAATAATAATAATAATGATGGAGCTTCAATAAAATTATTATTATTTAAAATAACAATAATAATAATAGATAATAATAAAAATAATAATAATCACACAGAATATAGTAGAGGTCTCTATATGTCACTGTAAGAATAATATATATTATAATAATTTTTAAAAATAACACAACACTTTTAAATTTCAAAGACATGTTTCGACTTTCATAAAGCCATCTTCAGTTTGAATGTGATTACATTTTACAATCAGTTATATAGTAGTAATAGATAATATGATTAAATTACAAYGGTYAAAAGTAAACTAAAACAAGAGATGAGATTACAAGTGGATAGTGGTATTATAGTGTTTGACCTGAGTATTAAGTTCATGTTTAAAATGATTGATAAAAAGAGCATTTTTACAACTAAATTTAATCATATTATCTATTACTACTATATACCTTATTGTAAAATGTAATCACATTCAAACTGAAGATGGCTTTATGAAAGTCGAAACATGTCTTTGAAATTTAAAAGTGTTGTGTTATTTTTAAAAATTATTGCATCACTTGTGCTTTTACGCTCACTTGGATATATTATAATATAATGTATAATATTCTTTGTGATCTTGTTAAGGCCAAAAGAGCAGAAGAAAGGAAATTGTTATCTGAAAGAATGAGTAGTCAAGASGTTCAAGATGAAGAACCTACAGAAAAAGATGCATTAAACTCAGACAACAATAAAAACAACTCCACCAAACAAGAAAGGTAATGTTCATCATCATTTATCATCATCATAGTGATGTAAATGTTTTTTTTTTCTTTTTATATCTGATAGGAAATCTGCTTTGTTTTCTTCTTTCACTGATGCTTTCAGTTATGCAAGAACAGGAATCCAGGGTATATTTGTAAAGTAAGCTTATTCTAAAGTTTTATATCAAATTATAATTATTGAATGCTTACACATGCTCACATACCGATAATATTAAAAAGTGCAAGATAAAATAAACTATTGTAAGGTTTGTATTCATTAAACCTGTTTAGGATGAAATAATATTGATATTCCTGATTATGTGTAAGATATTTCATTCTCTTTAGAAATTCACCAAGTGGAAGTCGTAAAATGAGGGCCAATAATGAGGACTGTGACTCTAGTGACGATGAAGAAGGAAAATTAAGTGCAACATTATTGTCTAAAAATCCTGATGCTTTGCCAGATAATCATGATGAATTTACAAGGTACTAAAATAAATTGCTTTCATATCTATTAATCAACAGTGAATATTAGAAACAATATCATTAATTCATATCAATCAATCATATGTGATATTTTCTAAAATTCATGTATTTGTTAACTTTATCTATATATTACACATAGTTATGGTGTTGCTCTATTTTGGTATATATCCTACAAATTCTGAGCTACACTTCCCCTCTTCTATTGATTTACATTCATTAATCAAAGTTTGCCTTACAATTTTATAGGAAAATGACAACTGAGGGAGGATTAAAGTATACAAGTTCAGACAAATCAGATCAACAGCTATCTTATCAGAATCTTCCTCCACCATTATCTCTTAGCTCTTTACCAAATAAAGCCAAAACCTGATGAAGATTTACCTTATCGCCCTTGAATGTACTGTATGTTCATGGCTAAAGAATTATGAAATTTTGACCATTTGTTTTTAACATTAATATTAGACATATGAACAATTGTGTTTCTTGTCTGCATACAATTTTTTAAGTGATATCTATTTTCTGTGGTTTACCTTTCAAGTTGATTTAGAATATAAAGTATTCTTTGTTTATAGTATAGCTAAGCACATGTTTATGAGGGAGGGGAGTGACAGCAGAAAGAAAAGATTAGTAGAGGAAACAAAGAAAGATTAGGAGAGAGGACTGTGTTCATAATACAGTTATGCATCCATAAAAAGTAGCTTCTCGTATTGTATATTCACTGTGACCTCTATAAAAGAATCAATGTCTATTGAGCAGTTCAGCTGTATTATTAGAAGAGATTATCATAATATAAAATGTATTATCATCTGAAGGAAATTATTCAATCTGTTCATGGAAAAAAGTTATTTTTAGAAAAAAGCATTTTGTGATTTGAATATCAAATTATCACATGAAACTCTATTCTAGAAAGTTAAATAAGTTTATAATTAGATCAAATAATTATATCAAGTGGTTGTTGTCAAATTTTGATAATTGGTATAAATGGATTGGAGTATTGGGTAAGAATTAAGTGGATTCAGCTTAGAATAACAAGATGTTAGACACAATCATAAATAAATTATTTATTTATAAAATATATCCTGCAACAATGTTAAAAAGCAGGACCAAATATCAGATGAAATATGATTAAATTTTAATTATGATTATAAAAGTCTTAGGGTGTTTTATTAAGACAGCTATTTTAACTTATTGATTCATGCATTACTTCAGGTGGATGTACTCAGCTGTATAAGAATCATGAATGTATAACTCATTATTCAGCTCAGAAATGAGCCAGGAAATCAAGCAAATTACATATACTCTTCAAGAACCAACATTTATAATATTCATCATTTTATATCTTATAAGGGACAAATTCTGGTTACCATAGTAACCTAGGAACCAATAGTTCACTGGTACAAGAGTTAATCTTGAGAGAGTTCCAATCATGCTAGACCCTCAAGTGTATTGTGAGAATGCAGTGAGAATCTTAGCTTCAACATTTCTATTCAATGGAAAAGAGTGATAAACTTTAAAAAGTAGTTAACTTTATCCAGCCTTTATACAATACCATACGTGATGAGAAGCCATCAGAAAAATTAAAACCTATACAACTTACTCTACGTTACCAGTCAGTTCTGAGTAGCTTGCACAGGACCACATGCATGCAGGACAGCTCTATAGGAATTAACCTAATACATGTTTTCATACTCACCTGTTACTATTCACTGCTAAATCCAACTTGAGTTCTAGTTCTTGTTTGTTTTTGTGCTTTTATTTACTTCCATGGTTGACAATTCTTGGTACTTTCAGCAATTCACATACAGGTGGCTTTTTAAATTTCCTTGCACAAACAGAATATCCCTTTCTGAAGACATTAATACGCACACCTGTTCAATTAACATCTGTCTGTTATTTGCTTTCTTGACCATCTTGTATCTTTGTTTATACTATAATTTAAATATTTTTGACCAACCAAAAACCTAAGGAGCAAAAACTACGACATACGAAATCAGACCAGTTTCATCTGTTGCTTCATTTGTACTTCTAAAGGGTATTGTGACTTTTACATTAATTCCACAGGCAATTGCTTTAGACCAGTCTTGTTAAGCTTCCTTTCCAGTCAAAGCACCAAGATGGACATGTAGGTTTTTGCAGTAGCTTCAAAGGCCAAGATCTTTTTCAAGGGCTCTGATTTCTTCTTCAAATTCAGTTCGTTTCGCCAGTTTTTCAAGTTGATTCGCTTCTGGTTTCGTTACTTCCCCAGAATCTATTTTACTTTGTAACTCTTCTATTTGTCGCAATTTCTTTTTGAGATTTTTTAGTTTTTTCTGTTTTACCTCGTTAGGATCACTTGTGTACAAGTTACTTGCTCTGCTTTCACTTGTGTTTAAACTTATTTCTTCAACTGCCTTATTAACTCGATCTAAAGAGCCTTGATTTTGTTCATTGTCTTTTTTCTTTTTCTTACGATCATGTTTTTTATGGTTTTTTGAACTTTTCTGTTCATCCACATGAAGACCTGGAGGCAGTTGGGGTCCTGAATTTACCCATTTTTTACCTTTACTTTCGTATTTTTCTACTTCATCTTGGGGAACATATCCTTCTTTAACTCTGCGAGCTTTTCTCCATGTACCATCAGGCCGCCGTGTGGCTGGAATCCACGATTCTTTGTCAGACTTTTCCTCTCTGGCTTCCGCCATTTTGAAACCGGTTAGAAAGACTTTCCGGAAAACACTCGGTTCATGGTCGGGTCTTTGTCGGATTCTCGATGATTTAAAAGGTCAACACTGATTTAGGAAAACATGATTTTGAAAACGTTTTCAAAATAATTCGTTTATTTCAATAAGAGTGACACGCAAAACAGTTATTAATGGTAATAGCGCAAATGCCTTCCTCAAACAACAGATTTCAAATATATTGCATAATGTTCACCCATAAAGCACCGCGAGGTTACCGGCGAATGTGCAAAATGGCGTCCACGGCTGGCAGGATTGTTGTACGTCAGCATAAACAGTTAATAAAATTCCCAAATCGTATAAAAATGCACAGAAACCGTAAGTATTCTACTACTTGAGTTAGCTGTTTTCAGTATGCATCCATGTATTTTTCAATTGGACTTGAAAAAAACAATATTTTTTAAAAATATAATATTAATTGTTCATCACTTGTTCACGTCTGAATAGATAAGCTTAACTTACGTTTTGTTTGATTGTACATGCAGCTAGCTCCAACAACAAAGGCCCAGAAGTGTCATCAGTTATTGCTTCTATAACTCAACAAGTTCCTTCATTTAAACCATTAAATGCGCCATCAGTTAAAGCTACACCAGCTATGACATCCAGTTACGATGATGGTATTATAACGCTACCTTTCAGATTTCAACGCAAGTTAATTTCTCAAGAAGAGATGGAATATATAGAGGTATATACATGTTTTTACTAGTATACACTTTTCTTATCGAAGCGTAGTCTTGTTCTCAGAAGTACTCTTGTTGATCAGAATATCCACTCTGACCCACTCAGAGAATGGTAATCTATTAATCACGTGTTATGTAAGTCGTATCAAGCAAAACCCTTTTGGTAGACTACACCGAATTGCTTCATTTTTTCTACTTTCTTTTGCTATAAATAAAGGGTTAATTTAGAGAGCAGGACATATATGGAGGTCATGCACAATCTCTCTTCTGATTGGCCTATTACAAAATGATGATTTGACAGTTAAGAGAACAGGACATCTTCCCACTTTTCCTTTTCCCTTGCCATGATGCACTGATAAATAATACAAAAATCGGTTAACATTGTACACTTGTTCTTGCTATAAACAGGATTTAAATGCCCATTTTTCTTCCTTGCAATTTATAAATTCCAGTTCTTCAGTGGCAAGTACGTATATCAGGGTCCGGGCAGAGTATCAAAAACGAAATTTAAGGACTTTTCAAGGACCAAAATTGTATTTTCAAGGAGCATCAAAATCATGCTAATTGTACATTCTTATCTCAAAACTTCAGCCAAACGGAATAATTCAGAGATTGCTAGTGCTTCGGGATTGAGATCCATCGTTTTCAAGGAGTTTTCAAGGACTTTTTCGAAATTTTCAAGTTTTTAAGGAGTTTCAAGTGCCCTTGAAAACGAGTTTTCAATTTAAGCACTTTTCAAGGATTTAAGGACCTGCACAGACCCTGGTATATTCTCACAGATCATGTCATTAAGCTAACAATTATGACTGGCTTATCTTTTTTAGAGAGGAGGTCCAGAATGACAGCAGCAAAGACAAATCTATAAATATTTGGTGTTCACAATGTTTTTGCAAGCTACTGGTGTGATTTTATACATAGAACAAAATGGATTTTAAAACAATTTCCATTTCAGTGACTTTTTTTGTCTTAAAGAAGTTGGACAAAAACAATATAATTGCTCATAATTATCGATGTTATTAGCAAGGATGTTTGATGGATTTTCTCTGCTGATTTGTTTAGTGTCAACAAATTATTGTTCATAAGTGGAATATTATTATTGTCCTGGAACAGTATGCACGATTATTGGATGATGAACACTGGCACTGCTGTCAAAATACAACTTCAGTTTGTATGAACATGCTTTACATCATGGGGAACAGAGGGACAATCTTTAGTTGCTCCCTAAGAGAGTAAAGAGAAACTGAATATTGCCCCTTTCAGAAGATAATGCCTACATGCTGTAAATGGAATTGAGGAATTTATTGTTGTTCCTATTGGAAGAAATGTAAAGAATTTGTCTTCAATAGCTCCAGCATTTATGGAAATATTTAATAAATTTGAATCTTTTTTATTAAAAAACTTGTATTCTTTATTATTTAATTCACTAGCAGTCTTTCTATTCACAATCCCATATGTTGTATGCACATTTGCACTCTATATCATAAGCCTTACTATTTTTTAATGATTGAAGGAAAACAACTCGACATAAGAAGACAATGATCAGTTAATGTTTCACATCATAGTTACTGTGTTCACATCAAAGACAGTTCTACTCAAGTTCTACTCCCATGGTCAACATAAAATTATTTGTACAGGAATTCCCCCAAGAGAATAATATTTTGTAGCAAAGCAAATATATTTATGTCTTTTTGTTTAGAATATATTTGTTAGAGAATGTGTAAAAAATATTTTAAAATACTATAGAATTTGTAGTTCTTAACAAAGAGACAGATGATGCTTGGACAGGATTTGTAGCCAGTAACTTGACTGGGAAATCCCATGTCAAAAGTTCTGTTTCAATGTTGCTTGGACCTTGCCATGTTGCAGTATCTAAAGGTGGATATGTTGACTGAAGAGGACTTGCTCCAGCAGGAAGGGAACCACAAACAAGCACAAACTCAAAATGAAGCCTCCATTTTAAACAAACTGCAATATAAATAAACTGGCATTGAGAAACATTTCTTTTATATGAGCACTGTTATAAAATACAGATAAATATACAATCATCATTGCCCAAATGAGAACGTCTCCACAGGAATTCCCTGACTAAAAAAACACTCCTATTTTATTGGATAATCCACAGAGAGACTGGATAAACAGGGAATTCTCCAGGAACGCCTGATGAGGAATTTTCTCTTGTACACTTTCTCAAGACCAAAAGGGTCTGTTTGGAAAAAAAAACAGTACAAGGAGGGATCATATTCCCTAGATCATATCCTCAAAGCATGACAAGCTAGAGCTAAGAAAAAAATCAAACAACTGTTGTGCCACAACTTAGCTCTAGCTTTTCGTGGAAAGAAATACCCAGTGAGCACCAGCGCAATCAAACCAGTATCATTTGATGAACAACAATACATATATTACCTAAATCCGATACAAATTCTGGTGTTGCTGTAATAGGTACTGGTAGAACAATATGTGTCTTTTTTGTATGTAGACAGTGTTCTTGGTATGAGCAATGTGATGTATGTGTCATGTCTGCTGATTTACTATTGAGTGGACGGCATTCCTCTGGTATGTGTTCTTCACTTTGAAGAGTTACTGTGAACTGTAGATCAAGAAAATAAAATGAACATTTTATCATTGTAATCATAATTTAGGATAAGGTCAAAAGATAAAGTACGGTCAATATTCAGCTTTAGAAACACATTTTTTTWAAAATATTTACGTGAATGAATGTTTTTCATGCTAAATCTGCTGTTTTTTGTTTGTTTGTTTGTTTGTTTTTTTGTTTTTTGTTTGTCTTGCTCTGGAATAAAAGATATAATTTACTTGATAATCTCAGATCCAATCACTATTTAAAATATGACTTACCTTTAAACAAGGTATTAGGCTATCTGTAAAATCAAATGAACCGACTATCTCTTCTCCTATTCTGTAAGCTGATTTAAAAAGACAAAACTTCCCCACATGTCCTCTATTACTTACAATATTATATACATCTGTTGAAGACAAAATTTAATGTAATTATTTTAATACAATTAATAAATAATAAAACCAAAATTTGCTCTTACGGTTGTTTCTTTTAGATGTGACTGAGGTTAAAAAATCAACAGCAACATCTAAAAGAGATGTGGTCTCTGCTTTACTCTGTAGAAAGGGATTTTTCGGTTGTTCTCGTAAACTAAACATGTTTTCAATTTCTTGCAATCCTAATAAATAGACAAAACAAAACATAAGGAACATCCAACAAATGCATCAATTTTTATTGGAAATTGTTATAAGCAATATGTGTGAGACTATAGTATGATATGAAGAATCATACTGACCAAAGTAGCTATTTTATCCACTGACCATTAGATAGACAAGTCTAAACTACAAAACTACATATAAAAATTGCATAATCTTGATATGTTATACCTGGAACAACCAAAATTCGAATGGGTAGACGAAGAAGCTTTATTTGTGAGTTTACACGACTTGTTCCAATGGTAATTTTATATGAGTATTTAACAGTATGTCCTTTGTATGATGGAGGCCCATTTACTGGGACCTTTTCACTGTATAAAACTGAAAATGATAAAAAGGATTAAACATATGTCTGGGTTACAATTTTACTTTGAACTAGAAAACATAGTCTCGCTTCTCATTGATCTTTACCATTATCAATATATTAGAAGAAGAAAGGAAAAGGTTTATGTAGTGATTTCTTTGACATATTAAATAAGTTATTAGAGCAATATTTCATTTTTTTAATTTGATTACTCTAATATAGGAAAAAGCACTTGACGGTTGATATCGTCCTTTCCAGTTGGAAGTTTGTTTACATAAGAACCTTCAATAATAATGTACCACGACTGATTTTAAAAACGTTATTGACAATATCCGCGATCTTACGATTTAATTATATATATAGATGTCCATCAAATCTGTATTTTATCATAAAACTTGTAAGAAGAAAAGATAATTTAATCAAATAATCCTTACATGTTTTCGATTCGCCCGGGTACAGCTGCAAATCGCAAAATAGAATTTTCGGTTCAGTGGAAATGAGACAATGACCTTGCTCTCCTAAGGAAAGAAATGAAAGATGATAACAAATGAAGAGTTAAATTTCGTTTTACTAACGAGATTTGTTTAGTAAAGTAAGTACACCAACCTCTAGATGGAGCAAAACTTGTTCTCGACTCACTGATTGGTGATGTATTATCAAGTGCCGTAGCATTTTCTTTCCCTGGAATCACCACTCGTCCACTCATTACTGAACACTGACAGTGAATTTGCGCACTCGACCAGGCAAGGCGTTCTACTTTGTCACTTTTTTTCTCTTCCTTGTAATGGTTTACTTTCCTTGGACTAGGGCATTCCTTCGTGTTGACGTTTGAGAAGGTGATTTCACACTGCAGTGTTTCTCCAGAGAGATATACAGCGCTTCGTAAAATGCGAGCTTTAATCTCGATCATTGCATTAGAGCCCCATAACATCAACGTCAATAAGTAGATTATTCATCCTTTTATGCACAAAGATACTGAATTACAAGATAATGCAACCAAACCAGGTGGAATTGCATAAAGAATTCATGCTCAATCTATCGCACTCCTGTAAGAGCACATCCGCCATCTTGAAATAATTAACGAGAACACCGCTGGCTAATAAGACGACAGACTCAAATGAAGTTTGAAGGAAGCCATTCAAAAGTTGATTAGATTCTCTTTGAACGACCGCTCTCGTAAGCGACCATCTCCCGTAAGCGACCACCTTTTAAATTTCCCGTTATAATTGTTTCCCATATAAACTCTGTAAAAAAAAACTCTCCCATAAGCGATCATCTCTCCTAAGCGACCACTTTTTCCTGATCCCGAGGTGGTCGCTTAAAAGAGAGTTGACTGTACTTTGCTATTCCACAGTATCAATAACTATTATCAGGAGCCTGCTATTGAGATTTTTTTTATTCTTCCGAAAATCTGTGAAGAAATAAAATTCAAATACAATTACATTTTTTCATCTTTCAAATTGAAAAAAAAAAAGATTTAAACCTTTTTTGCATCTATATCTGACATGGCCAAGACCTTTTTACCCATCAGCCTGCTAACCAGCTAGTCGGGTCAAAAAGAGACTTGCTATAGTCGCAGTGATTGAAATATAATTTGATAGCAAATATAAATATCTAGAAGTAAAAACCTGACTGTATTTTCAATCTAAATCATGCTTTTCAGAAAAGTCAGTCAATAGCATATCTAATTGCCATGGATCACAACCATTTGTCTGCATCAGTTTTTCCCAGCTTGGCTATGCCCCATATACCACGTTATGTAAGAATTAAAAGATAAAGCATAGATTTTTCTATGAAAGCAAATCTTAGAGACAGGTCCTGTAAGCAAATTATGTCCAAATTTGGACCCGCTTTGGGCATATGAGTGATGGGATAGTGAGGGGTACCCTTCACCTCAAAGACCAAAATCAGAGACTTTGTCCTAAAATATCTTTCAAGATAAAATTTTAAATGCTTGAAGTGTAGTTCATGCAGCTCAGTGCTCATGTATTTTGTGGTGAGATTGTTTTTGGCTTTGTCTCTTTTATACATTTTAACTGTCATTAAAAGTGTAAAAAAAGTCACTGAAAAAATATCGAATGATAAAACAGTATTCTTGCAATACTTTTTTTTTTACACTCCTTTGCACGAAAAAAAAAGATATGATAAAAGATTATTTTAGGTTTTAGATTTTCTTCTCAAAAACCTTCGAGCTTGAGGTCCAAATCGGATCGAAATGCACCAATCAGATTACACGGTTTTTTGGAATGACCAATCAGAATGCGTGAAAGTGCACCAATCAGAGCACGTTGCTTGTCATATAAAAACTGAGTGTTGGCGGATATCTGTATGCATAGTTCATCAGTTTCGAATTCGACTGAAGTTATTTCTGTAATAAACGTTAAATTTACCAAAAAATGGCTCGTACAAAGCAAACTGCGAGAAAGTCAACCGGTGGAAAGGCACCAAGGAAACAGTTAGCAACTAAAGCAGCACGAAAGAGCGCTCCATCGACTGGCGGAGTGAAAAAACCACATCGTTACAGGCCGGGAACCGTCGCTCTTCGTGAGATTCGTCGTTACCAGAAGTCAACCGAATTGTTGATCAGAAAACTACCGTTTCAGCGTCTTGTTCGTGAAATCGCTCAGGACTTTAAAACAGATCTTCGCTTCCAAAGTGCTGCCATTGGAGCTCTTCAAGAAGCAGCAGAAGCATACCTTGTTGGTTTATTTGAAGATACAAATCTTTGTGCCATTCATGCCAAGCGAGTCACCATTATGCCAAAAGATATTCAACTCGCAAGACGAATCCGCGGAGAACGTGCTTAGAACTATGGACATACACTAGAGACTTGTTTTTAGAGTAGCTGACTTATCTTAAACTGAACTATTTAGACGTAAACTGGAGCAAATTTGTATATCAAAACACTGAAAAGAGCGCCAAAATGGAACAAATGGCCGTTTCTCTACTATCGACGATTTTTCTACTATTTTTCGCTTGTACTTATTCATTCGGCCTTCTAAACTAAATTAGTCGATGGGTCTCGCTTAATTTAATGTCAAGAACTGTAATAATATGACTTATGTGTCATGTGTGTGAATTCTCCATATTTCAGAGTGTTTTTTTTTCTGTAGCGTAATGTTCAAGATGGCGTCGCCCTTGCCTTTTGTTCATCGGCGTTAGGACGCCTAAATCTGAAGATGAATGTTTAATTTGTAAGCGCTCGATGTATTTCTATTCTACTAGTACCTTTCTGTTCTATAGGCTAGTTTTTATTTCTTTCAATAATAGCATGTAATTTAGTTTTGATCAAACCTACAACTACTTGGTTGTGGAGAAAATAACTTATGTTCAGAATCAAAAAGCTTACGATTTATTAGATCCATGAATGTGTATAGCCATGTGTAACTATAAAACACTACAAATGTATCATATTTAACGTGTATACACGCATTTTTTAATCATTAAAAGGAGGTTTGTACCTCGGTTTTAAAACTATCATTTGCTCGTGTTTTGGGGCTAAATATAAAATATTCTTTGCCTTGATAAAGTAGCTTTCTCGTCTTGAGACAAAACGTGAGAAGCATTTTCTTGTTGCAAAGAATGTAAATAAGGATTGTAGTTTTACGATTCAATTCACCTTGGATCGTAAACCCAAAATTTATCACGGGTTTCGGCGTTAAACTACGCATAAAAACGTTAAAGTGGAATAAGCGTCGTTTTCCATACAACGCCTGCTGGAAAAACAGAGTTCACATTGACTACGTCACCTGTGAAATAATTACCATATTTTATTGCCACTATAACGTCATAATCAAGAGCATAAAAGTTAAAATAGTGGATCAAGGACACTGGAGTGCGGAATTCCAAACATGTTCGTAACATAATAGTTTTATTATATATTATGTGTGCTGTACATACATTTTTCATAATAACATTCTAATCCATATTGCTAGCAATAAGAAAGTATTTCATTAGGAAATGGAAATTGTGTGAACACTTTGTGAGTAATCTAATAAATATAAACATTTAACTTAGACCTCTATATTTAAGGATACTAAATACATTTATAAATTGTAATGTATAAATAAATATGTAAATATAAATACATTAAAGAGATAATATTATTTTAACAAGATAAGGTTTAAAAATTTGACACACTGATTCTCCTGGTAAATTAACAGCCCATAAGAAACTAAATAATGAATCAGTAAAAAAATTAAATTTCAAAATCCCCCATAACTGATATCCCATTTTAATATGAACAAAATCCTTATACAAATGTCAATACTTTAAATATTCTGTCACTGTGCGTTGATATTGTGGTTTGCATTGCTATGGGAACAATCCAAAGAAAACATCAAACAGAGAGCTGTCATTTGATCACTTATCACAACAACATGCTGTTAGTTGTCTGCATTGGTCACCAAGCAAATGGCAGTGGTATACTCAATAGTTCACTTTTGTCTAATTCTTTCAAAATAATGATAAAAACAACTTTGCCCTTCCCCATGTATTTATAAAAATTATTCTTATTATTTTATTACAATTATTATTAAATTTGCTGTTAATTGCTATGATATTGTGAATAAAAAAGAGTATAACCCTAAGGTTATAAATTTGTCCTTTGTACATAACTGTTAGGTTTTCATTGTGACAAATTTGCAATTCACTTTGGCAAGATTCCTATAATACTATTTCCAATACTATATATTTTATTTACTTGGACATTACTGAATTGACATGGTCATTCTTTTCTGCTCCTTTCTTCTTATTTCTCACATTTATTGCCCATTGCATTGACCATATACTCAATGGGCGCATGTACGCTAACGAACGATAATTACCATTAGCGACAATAGCCTCAGGTGTCTGGAAACCCATGCCAAGCCTTTCAAAACATGTGTTGTAAATGCCGCTTGCAGTTTTGAAGCCCTCTTCAACCATTCCCTATCAAAACATCAAAATGTAAGCTTATTGGGTTGCCTTTGGAAACTGAAGCCTATACAATACCTCTTGAATCATAGATGCAGCTAAGGCATATGTCACTCCGGTCCAGACCTCTTCAGCTTGTAGGCTGCTAGTATCAACCTATGGTCAAACGTCATCAGCACTGATGAAAGACTAACACAACAGTATTGCAGGGCAAATCAATTACCTGGCCAGTTGGTCGCATGCCATTTACAGCACCCATTGTTCCTTCTTGGAATTTCATGACATTGTTCTCAAAAATAGCTTTCAATGCACTTGTGACATGCTCTAGTGGAAAAACCTACAGAAAAGAAAATGGAAATTCTCTGTCTTTTTAAGGTCAACAAGATCTAATGAACTCACCTCATCAGATGCACGTTGTCCAAGATCACATGCATGTAAGTACCACTGTCCAGCCAGCTGATCAGCCATGATGCTATTGTGATACTTATGATCACTGCTGTCATAGTTGTAATAATCCCCTGTAGAAAAAGTGAAGATATTTCATGTTCTCCTTACCAATGTTTTATTATAACTGTCAAATTACCATTCCATAGTAGCTTGATATATGCCTTTTTGCCATGTTCCAGCACACTCATATATTTGTCTCTTTCCTCTGGGTAGTCTAAAATAGTAGCAATCTCTGCCATTACTCTAAGGGCTGCAAGCCAAAGACCACCACAGTAGGCACTGAATGAATCGAAATCAAGAACAAGGCTTTATATTACATCTACAAGAGCAAAACTACTGAAAATAGCATCAATAAGCACCTACTAATATTGACCAACGCACCTTGGACCTTTAACAGGCCAGGCATCATAGGTTTGGTCAGCAAGTCCTGAGTTTTCTATTAGACCATCTCCATCACGGTCATACGTCATTGATTTTGTCATCACTGTCTATAAGAACATTGTAATTATTAGTACTAATAGAATAATAACAACATTTTGCCTGGGAAATGTCCATGACAATTTCCATGAGCTTTGGCAGATTTAGGGTTTGTCTAAACTTCTCCCTTCCTGGAGCTCTAACTGGGGAGGGGGAAGGGGGTGTCATACCTTAGTAACAGGCCACATGTCCTGTAAATAGTACACATCAGATGTTGCTATGTAATCACGGTACACTTGTAAAACAAACTTGAGATTCAAGTCTTTCCACTTGGATGTATCGTGGATGTGATATGCATTGATGCGCTCCCAAGGATCTTCATCTACAAAGCACGACAGTTATCATTGCAAAATATGAAACAAAATATTTAATCTTACTGAAATAACTACATTAGAGCGGATTTCGTATGAGTGGGAAACGGACTGTACTGTACTGTGACCGTAATCGTACTGTAACCAAATTCTAGTGCCCCATTGGTTCACCAAAATTGTGCAGGCCAGGTGCGGTAACTGTGCRGTAACCGTGCGGTAACGGTGTCCCACTCATACGAAATCCGCTCTAATCAGCACAGCACAGCACAGCATAGTGGAGTACAATAAATAAACCAAGATGTCATAATGGATCACAATGCATGAAGCTAAAGAATTAAACAAGGAATTAATAGAATTAATACTAACCAGGATCGCCTATATCATGAGGGATACATCCAGGAACTTTTCGTTTACAATAATGACCATTCATCATTGTCATCCATACCTCATTATCAGATTGGTTGACAGTGTGAGCTATAAATACAACAAAGAAATCACTTGTAAACCAAAAGTACACACTTGAGGTCAAAGCAATTCCATTTGCTTCTACAAAGTGTATGAATAGTTAAATGATAAGGACAGGACATGAACAATGTCCATAGTATAGYCCAAAGGCCCATAACAATAACGCTTTGTTTACACGATATATCATGGTGATTATATTTCACACAGTGTATGTGCATTTCAATTTTTTTCCAATATGAACTCCAAGAGATTTTCAAAATGTGAACCAAAAAAATGAAAAAACAAGAATTAATTAACTGACCCATGTCATATTGAAGACTAAGTTGTAGTTTCGGCCAGAGCATTGCTAATGCATACGACGCATAGAAGTGTACATCATATGTATTGTACATCCTGTACTCATGACCTATATAACAGCAACAAAGAAATCAAGAACGACACAAATTTGTTAAAGCTCAATTTGAAATAAATATTTTATGTAGTTTATATTTTTTACATCTATAAAAGAATTTTCAAAGCCCAATGCTTTCAAAGTGAACAATTTGCCAGTATAACATCATTGATTGTACGACATCACTACCTTCTAAATAGGCAAATCGTCCAAACTTTTTAACAATCTCTGGAACTGATTTGTTAGGTCCTTCTTGTCTTATATCTAACCATACAGTGCCTCCATCAGCAACAAAGTAAAGCTCATTAAATAAAGCTGACTTATACCAGTTTGGTAAAGACCTATCAAAAAACATATCAATTCAAAAGTGTGCATCAAACATGCAGAATAACCAGTGATGGCAACACTAACTACACTTGTAGAATTTGAGTCATATACCAGTCCACAATTTTTAGCCTTCAACCAAGCAACTCATGTGGACCACTTTCCATGATAATATTTGGAAATAACTTACTCATCTTTCAATATAGGGTTCTGCCAAGCCTCAATCTTGGCTTCCCAGTCAGGATAATTCACAAGTGCATGACTACATAATGCAGGTCCAGCATTGCCATGATGACCAAAAAATCTGGTATAGAATCTGCAAAAGAATTTAAGGTGCGCTAAGTGAAGGAAATATGAATGCTGCTGAACTTATTAGAAAATATATTGGCTCTTTATATTTAGGTATCAATGCAGGAATAAATGCTTATTGATTAAGGATAGAAGGCTTCATCATGATATTAATATAAAATGGTAAAACATAGATTCAAACCTATAGTGTTGTTGTTTACTTGCACCAAAGCAAATCTGTGGCATATCCCATGCCAAGCAGAACTCTAGTTCATCCTTTGACTTTGGTGGGACTTTAATAGAAGCACAGACAGCAGCACACAATGACTGGTCTGAACGGGAGGGTGGACTGGGATCTAGAACAGGAGAGCAGCTTAACATTCATGAGTGGCTAAATGATATTCAACAGTGCAGGAGAATAACCATACGTTTCACAGTGTAAATAGCAGACACTGTACCTGATGAAGAACTTAGTTTACCATCATCCATCAAATCATCCCATACTCTTCTACATGGAGTGCGAGCATCAAATGATGCCTTTGTAGTCACAGAAACAACTGGCTGACCACCCTAAAGTAATAATATATAATAGAGAAATTTATCTAGGTGTACAGTAAAAACTTTTCATCTCATTCACGTGCCAAAGGATTTAACAAAGATGAAAGCACAAAAAGAGAGAACAAATAACAAAAATCAACATAAGAACCAACAGATATACAAGAGGCAGAAAACAAGACATAATTCACTTAGGCAACCAAAGTGATCGATTAGACAGGCAGAGACAAAGAGCAAGGCAACTAAAGGGACAATTGCAGTATTATTTACCTTATGCTTTGCTTTTGCTGCAATTGCCAGAGTGTAAGGAAGTCTGGGATGTTTATGATGAAGAAGAACACCTGTAACATCACATGTTGTTGACAATTCGCTGGATTTAGCCTCAGAGTTCTTTCTAGGATTAAGAGGACTGCTTCTTGTTGTATTACCACTAATAACATGATTAGCCTTCATGGACAAAAATTCCACTATTAATAAATACATTTATAATATTACAAATGTAGTGTAATAATGGCATAGTTTATGTGGTTTATAGATGCGACATGGATTCAATCAAATTGCTTTTATTTTGTGTACTAAACAGGATGGTACTGTGCAAACATATCTTATGCTAATGAAACATAACACTCCAACATTATTGTAATATTCGGATTATTGAGATGCAGTATCTACCTGTGTTGAAACTGATTTGTCCTGCTTACTGCCCAGGTCTACCTTACAATGTACTCCTTTTGAGCAAAASGGTTCATTGTAATGACCAGAAGATGTGTCATTTGGAGAACCATCACCATTTTGAAAAGTGAACATAATAGAAACCTCAACTTCTTCATCATTGTTATTTTCAACTTTCCAAATGAATACTGCAACTGGAAGACTTGTGTCCTGAAAAAATATTAAATATTGTAACCTTAAGCTTGTAGCTTACTCTACAGCCATTAAATATAGTGTTGATCTCAGGGTCTCTACATGTCTCCATGCAGGGATCTGTCCTTTCATGTCAGTCTTACATCTTACCTTATAATCATGAGGAAAGACTGGAGACACTTGGCGGCAAATAAGTCTGATATTTTGACCAGGCAAGTCATAAACTGTCCAGGCACGTGGATATAAAGCATGGTATACAGCATTTGAACCATTAAAACCCCAATTCCAACCTTGCAGACTTCGACCACACATTACTCCATTGGGACGGTTAGGTGACAACACAGACTGAAAACAAAATAAAAAAAACAGTATTTAACATACAAAAACCATCTTTCAGGTTCGATTGTTGGTTTCATACCTGATATGTAGTTCTGCCTTTCTTTCTTACGCATACAATGAACTGAATTTAGAATAGAGTCAACAAAAACAAATATAAATAACCTTGCACTTTGAAATCCATCTTTAGGATACTGACAATCTTCTTATTATTATCTGTTTTTATGATTTAATAGGAAGTGTTTTAACCTGATTAGCTTCGACATAGTTATAAGAGTACATTCCAGGAGTTAATTGCCATCGATTGAACTCTCCTTTCCATCCTCGTCCTATAGTTCCACATCCAATACCACCRAGAGGAACACCTTGAAACAAAAACATTTTTTTATTGGAAGACTCTAGCTAGAATACTTGGAAAATATGAAATCGCCTAGCCTCCTCAGCAGCCACAGTTCCTTAATATGACTCAGGGAGACTGTGGCCCAAGGTCCCCACTTGGCTTAGATGATACAAGAGGGATCCCAAAAGGGCAAGGAAAATTTGAAAGGAAGCAATATACCTGCGGAGGAGGCTTGGAATCAGTGGGCAGTTTTAATGATTATTAGYACCTGATGAAATTATTATAATAAGAATAATTGACCTGATTGTCATGGACAATCTTTTTCAAAGTGCTGCTGTATTCATTTTACATTAAAATCTGTTATAATATTACATACATCAATAATTTAAACATGCAGATTTTAGCAATAATGCTATCCTTTCTGGGATTAACACATTTATTGATGAGATAATCTGCATTGTGAAAGATGTTCAGGGCTGACAAATGCAGGCTACTCATGAAGGAAAGTTAGTTTGTCTTTTGAGGTTGACAAAAAGTTGTTTTTTTATCCTTAAATTTTCCACATTTCAGTAGTTAATTTCTGATATCAGCAGCTAAATATAGAAGAACCACACATAAATATTTTAACAAATTCACTTAAAAAATATTAAAAATCAGACCTACACTGTTGTTATTATCTGATAACAATAAAGATATTACTAACAGATCTCACCACAGTCAGAATGAGCATTTTTAAATTTCTAAAATTTTATGGCAAGACAATTAAAATTTTAAAAATATTTTGAGTGATGATAACCATAGAAAATACGTCAAAGTGCTCAAAAAAATTAGTTATCTTTAATTCAAATGCCTATTAATGTGAATTGAGATCATGTGGTGATCTAAGTGCTGTGTCTGTCTCTCTGTTCTTCTTTTGGATCAACATGTAAAAAAGCTGACTTCATCGCTGATTAAAATTCATCACTATCATTTTCTATCAGTGAAGAGAGCCTCAGATTTGAATAATTGTCTATTTTTTCTAATCAATTTGTGGCTAGAAATCAAAGATTATAAGTCAAAACTATTAAATAAAATATGATAATAAATAAGTATTTTGTTAATATTTCAAATATCACATATTTTTTTTATTTTGTTACATTTTGGATATTATTGTAATTAGTTTGTGATTCCTTGACCAGATTTAAGTCAGTTGATAGAATCAGAATAAAAGTCATGATGCAGACTTTGATAAAATATTTAAATGTTTTACTGATAAAATATTTATGTTTCAAGTGGTTAAATGAATCATTTCAAAATTCAAGACAAGATAACAACATACATACATTTTCTCAAAATAATATTTCTTCAATATCACATTATATATACATAAAATTTAGGTTGCTGCTGATTTCCTTTATAAGTCACTTAATCTTTAAAAAAATTCCCTAATGTTTACAAAACAAAAAACATGAAAGTTTAATGATTAAAATCAATTCTAATAAAAGTTGACCTCAAAAGAGCAGAATTATCAGTAAAGCAATATTCGTACTACACTGTACAGTGGGGAGAAATAGTTCTGATTGTGATGAGAAAGACTTTTAACACAGTCTCAGTTGCCAAGTTATTATGCATTATCAGTTGCAGTGAATAAAAGAAGAGGTGTCCTTATAGCACCTTTAAATAGCAAAAATACCTAGGATGAAGACAGCTTAAAGTCAAGCTAATGCTGGATCAGTGGACATTGCACTGTCTTTCAATGACACCTTGGTTTTTTAAAAATGTTATTTTGAAACCATATGCAAATTAAAGAAACAGCTCTGAAAACCTCAGTGACAGCAATTACTTAGGATAGCAAACCTTGGGTAACTATGAATTAAAGATTCAGATTCCAATTCAAATTACTCCAATCTCATGCCTCTAGTTATTGGAATAATGAATTGAAATATGTTCAACAAATAGAGGACTTTGTATTTGAAATGAGTCACAGAAGGACACTATTTTGACACTTTAAATTTAGCATTACAATGGGCAGGTAAATAACCTTGCAAGYACCAGAACATAAAATAAACAATAACAGTGACAAGTACAAACGAAAAAAATTCATTCTGTGTGGGATAAACAAAAAAATAATCTATTGTCCCCAAGGGAATAGAGGTCCAACTGTACACTTTATATTGCTTTATAAAATATTATTTTTATAAAAAAAAACGAAAGTGAAATTGAACAGAAGGTTCTCAATCATGTCACATCACTGAAAAAAAGGAAAAATAGAATAAATTTTTCCATTGACTCAACTTATGGTTAAATATTAAAGGTCTATTTAAAACATCACAAGGTGACAATGTTTAAAGGAAAAATAGATATTTACCCAACTAATTTACAGTTTTTAATCAAATTTTCACGTTGGAAAAAATTCTAGCTTGCCATAAACTTATTCTAAAATATACACCGCACATAGCCAGCAACACAGCGAAATCGAGACAGAAATGAACGGGATAAACAAGTTGAGCACGAAGGCTATTTTGATTTTTTCCCTGCAAACCAATAAGTTATACTTATTTTTTCAGTTCACGATGAAGTAACAAAAAGAAGTCAAATTTTCGTTATTGACAACAATATTTCGCGAATAACGAAAGTCAGCTTTTTGGCATTTCTTACCGTAAACCTGTCGACATGGATTTGTGGCGTAAGGATCAATATACGGTGTTTCGCCATTCCTCTTCTTCTTCGTAGCATATTTCATGAATCTAAAACACAGATTATGATATCAGATGATGCTTATGCTGGTTGTCAAGAATTTCAGGGGTCCTTACCTCCAACCTAAACCAACAAGTTTAGGGATTTGAGTCCATCTTGGGAGGTAACAGGCTTGAGGAGTATGAGAGTAGGTATTACTTAAATGGACACGCCAGCCGTATTCCGGTAAAACACTCTGGTAATCGTCCGTATCTGTATTATTTCCCTCCTTCTCCTCAGAGGCCATGTTTTGTTGTGCCTCTCTCGCTGCGGTGGTACAAATTTGCATGTAATTTGCATACTATCGGTCCCAGGCCATACTCATTATAAATGCATCACAGCGGACACAGCGGCGGATAACGAAATGAAGCCGATGAATAAAACATCAGCTGTCAATATAAATATTCAAAAAGAATAAAAAATATATTACACTGATAAAAACGCTACTATAACAGTACTAGCAATAACTTCCTCATCTAACATTACTATAAAACAGTCCCTAGAGTTTCATAAATATTGGATTTTCTTTTGGTAATAATGCTTGCATTGGAGGTCATTTGCACAATAGCGCTATTTCACTACAACTACCAGAATGATCTGCATGTTTTCATTAGTATTTAGATTTTGATCAGATTTTTTATATTAGTGAAACAATAGGGACTACTTACATAACAAAAGAAAAAAGTGGGCAAAGCATGCTGGTAGTTGGAGTATACGGCGCCATCTTGAACTTTCTTTCCTATCAATTCATTGGATGAATTTGTCCATGGCGGCAAGCTGGGAAATCGCCAGTCTTTACTTATTTTGTTTTAAGGTCAGATGTTTTGTCGGATAGCGGGTTAATATTTTTCATTAGTTGGCGCGTCAAGCGAGCCAAGTAACACTGCCGGAAAAACCACGCTCATCTGCGAAATCAGATTAGATAATCAGAGTCCGTTACAACATTATTGCTGATTACGGCCGGAACACAGATCAATGTATTAAAAAAGCTAATAAGAGTGATCGTTATGTCAACTTTATACGACGACTCGGAGACACAAGTCGGAGATATGATGATTACTTTGTTCAAATAGTGCTAATGAAACGTCGATGTATCGCAAGTTGATTTTATCACAACGAAGTTTTCACTTCACTACAAAGTCTGAGGAGGTCTCACTAAATCATAGAATTGGATAGTAATGATGACTATGATGATGAAAGGAATCATTATCAGGATAATGACAGCGTCAATCTAACGCAGACATTGGCAGAGTGGTCACTTTTATTTAGCATCATACACAGACGTGATGCTATCAGATAGAATATATAGCATGATAGTTTGTTGTCAATGAAATGCCAATGATGTTAATATTCTCGAATTTTCTGATCATGCGCAGTTTGAACACTTCGAGTCCTAACGCCCCTAAGACATAATTCAAGGGCCACTTGAACGTGTTAAAGTAGTTGAATACCTCGAAACATCCAGTTTATTCATTTATGAAAACAATCAGCCTGTACTCACGGCAAACTGTGATTCAAAATACTTTTCTAGAAATAAAGTGTTCGTCACATTGAACTGTATGCACTTATTGTTAGAATTATTGTCAGGCTATATGATGTTTGATCAGCTTTTCCTGGTTTGGACAGTTCTCGTTAATTTTCAATCAGTGTTAACTCTTGATCATAGCCCATATAAATGACACCATACAGATCCCAAACCTATGAAAACCATACAAAAGGGAATGAATGGATGTTCGTTGAAAGGACCCGGTGACGAGGTTGTAGATGGATGATTTGCGCATGGAATGACATACAGTAACGAAGAATTCACAGGCGATAGATACATGAATTATTTAATAAGGAAAAGAATAAGATAAAGAAATGGAAGCATTGATTGAAAAGTCCAGGGAACACTGTATTCAAATTCGTTCATTAGATGGGTGGTTAAAAACAAAAGAGTTTTCCAAAAATACGTTTGCTAATCAGAAATATAAAGAGATGGTATTAATCAATGAAGAATTCAAGCATTATTTTAAGAAAACGACAATTTGAACAGCCAACAAAAGCTTACTTGTTTCCTTGTTAATTGCGGAATCAATGTTAATGACGGAATCAATGAATGTATTTCAACAATTTGTCAATTTATATTTTTGGAAATAACAATTTCTCTGTTGATTCGCGTCCGGATACTTTGATTGTTCCTATAAAGAACTATCGCAAACGCTTTATAAATATACTCCTACAAGCATTCACCACGTATTCATCGAGCAACCAGACCAAGCAGATAAAGCCAGTAAGGTAACTCAAACTGTTATGTATTTGAAGAAAATTTATTGTCTTGAATGAAAAATATATAAACATGATTTAATGCTATAATGCACGGCCGCGCCTTGCCCACACAAAATGGACGATTATATCATTGGTAATCGATAGGCACTTGATCTCAGGATGGTGCCGCCAAGGGCCATTGCGTGCAGTTTATAGATTGTTGCGTACTACTAAATAATTTAACTGAATATTATTTCCGTAAAACGTGATTTCTTCTTTCAGTTTGTTTCAAATTTGTTGCTTAGTTTTTGATTACACGTTTGGGTACCCAACCCACTCAAACAACCAATATGTTTATACTCTTTGGTTTTTTGTTCAGTTTTTGAATTTCGTTATCTGGGGTTGGATGGAGGGATGATCTGAAGTTGCGCACACCAACAAAACTATGAAATTTCTTCTCAAACACATCGTTTCATGATTTCCAAATGATAAGATTACTTAACAGAAATGAATGATACATAATTTCATGTGATCTCAATCTCTCCCTTCAAAGTCAACACACCTTCGCCGATTATTACAATACTCTCGTAAGGAGTGGATCTTGATAAGACGTATCGTTAAATAAGTGACCGATATGTTGTTTAGCGATCAGTATCGCCAGTCCTTATCATCGTACATTCGTCCATGCCAATTACAACGACTTTATCCAAATCAATGTGTAAAGGAAACGGTTTCATTCATGCACTTGTCACTGAGGAACGGTAAAAAGGGAACAGTGATTTGTTTGCGTTTCATTTGAATGATTCCACCAATAAATGATATTTCTAGGAAATGAACGGGAAATCTTTTTTATACAAGAAAGCTATTTACTACTTAATATGTCTAAGCTGTTTAATCTAGAAGCATTAATCTGTCTTATGTCCTCTTAGCTTCAATTCAACATCCTTTGAATTTATAAACATCAAGAATGATTCGTGACCATTTATAAACCATTTTGCCTCCCTTTTTTATCTTAAGCACTTAAAACAAATCGTGAAACTGAACATGGTTTAGATGGAACTCGTTTAAAAAGGAAATGTACGCAAACCTTTCATTCATCAACTTGGCCTAAAATTTCCGCAGTTGTTGACAGGTTTAGCGTGTACTTGAGCCTTACTTCCTTATGACGACTCACTTTCCGCCCTTAAAAGTGCACGATTTTACTAGTCTTACACCGGCTATTATGTAATAAACAAATTAAGTTTTATCTTTCCCTCCGAAAAAAAAAACAGTTTCAATCTCAACATTAACTCAACTGAAGTAGTCGAATATCAAAGTGTTTACAGGAGCGATTCTTCATTCTTTTATGTTTTAGGGAAATGAAATATACAGGGTCATTTATATAGCAAGGTAGAATCGTTCTATTGAATGCAAATGTATTGAAATTAAGGTTGTATTTATACACGAAACCTGTTATCTATATGATATCAGTTTGTTATCTATAAGATATCAGTTTGTTTAGCACTTGAAAAACCGTTTAATGATACAATAAACCTATTGCTATGATAATTGATTTCATTCTATTTCATCAAACATCGATCGTAAACGATAAGTGCCTAGAAACACGCTTCGTCATGTGCTGTATGAAAAGTCTTTTTGAGTTGATGCTTCTATAACAAACACAGCACGTGAACTATGCTGTACAACAGTTTATTCGTTAATCTACATTGGCCTTGTTGGAGCGGTATAAGCTTTGAATTACAAATAAATGGAAACCCCGTCGTGCGAGCAATGACGAAAAATTTGACGGAATGTTTTGGTACACATACAAAGGTTCCAAGCAGTGTAGCATACAAAATTGACGTAGTTTTTCAGTAGCCGTTTAAACAGACTTAAACGCAAAACACACCGACTGAGCAACACTGGAATGACGTCATTCTAACGTTATATGACAGCTGGAAATCGTGGGAGGACGAAATAMAAAACACCGTTGAAAATGCAACGATCATATAATTTAGTTTTGAATGCTCTATATTCAGTCAAACCTATTTTCAAAGCAGACTTTTGTGACTATAGGAAGAAAAATAATTTCTTAAAATAGTCATATTCCTTTTGACCTCAAGTAAGTTAGATACTCATCGGCAATAAAGAATCGAAAATTTTATAGGTGTGATATTAAAGGGAAATACCACCTTGTTCTCAAAGAATTAATGAAAAATACCATATTTGATAAAAGTGAGCCTTGCACTCTGGTATTAATTCACTTTCATAAAATACGCGCGGTATTTTTCATCAATTCTTCTCGAACGGTGGTATTTCCTATACATATTCACAATTTTTAACTGCTGTTTGTTGTAATTGTCAATGTGTAGCAGTCAGTAGCTCACCCTCTAGTCCAAAACGATATTAATGATTCTACTGAAATAGGGTCCAAGCCCTTGAATTGCTCAACTTCAGTGGCTTCAGCTGTCAGGAACAAAATAAACTGATGGCTATATTTAAGTATTTCAAACACAATTACTTTTTAGCCCGAGGTCTTTGGCACTACAAAACTCAACGAATGAGATCGAGAACACTGAAGCATATTATAAAACTCTTGACTATACAACTCGACTGTTCTTTTTAATAGTATAGACCTCTACTGTTGAATTGTTTGCGGTATTATTGAACATGGAAAATAGACAAACAAGAAAAAAAGTAAAAAATAACATAATATATGGTTCCGCCTTAGTGAAACAGGCAGAGAATGACTAAACTTCCCCGCATATTAACCCTCCTCACTGAGCCACACCTGACCATTGGTTGTTTCTATTTGTTTACTGTTTTACAATAGACTTTGTGACATGTTTAGATTAGATGCACTCTGATAAAAAATATATATTCCAATCAAAGAAAGTGAGTGGTTTTTACCCATATTCTGTGAACAGAATTTGAACAGAACAGATTTTGAAATCGCATGAGACACAAGTAATTGAAGTTCTCTTTAATGTCTAAGACTTACATGGCATAATGATTGTCATTAACGTTATCTCGTTGTATTAGGGTGGTATTCATGACAAATATGACATACCTTTGGTATACCATGATTGCTGAGACTTGAGCTCCATAGTAGACAAGACGATAACATCCACCCAAAACCTTTTTTTTTCTCAGAGAATTCTAC